GCTAGGACTCCCCACTTTCCCTCCCAGAAGAAATCTTTATTGGGGGACTCCCTTCTCAGATACAGGGTCTTAACATTCATTTGACAAATACATTATTATGATAAAAAATCCATCCTGGACATAAAATTTGCCTGTTCAGTGCTTATATACTGGAGTGATGAGTGTTATAGAACAAAGTTAGATACACAGGTGACTACTGGTGCTCATCATTTATATACTGCTGGACACATATGTAGCATTTAAAAACAAACAACCCTTTGCAGGCTCTTTTCTAAGAGGTTCTATTATTGCATATAGGTTTCCCTGGGTCATATCACTGTCAGGATGTTAAATACCACAACATCAAATAGCAAAAAGCTGAAGTGTCCAGGGAAGCAAAGCATTTCCAAATCATATTCATGGCAGTTTATGGTCTTCTTAATGTAAATTCATGGCAGAGAGTTGAAAATTGAAACTCTAATAAAAGTAGGTCATTAGGTTGCAAATAATATGAACCATTGAATACATTCATGATTATCCCATTCAAAGCAAAATAGAATTCTTTCTGAACACAAGGTCACTGTATGAAGAACTCACAGTGACCTAAAATCAGTTAGTAAAAAAACGTTTTTAAAAAGGGAAATGTGATTTTGATTTTACAGCTCTTTAAATAATGCATTTATTTTACAGTGCTGGGCTCAGTCACACTGCTGAAGTTGGAATAACATATAGCAGAATTGTTGGATTTCTCAATATCTTGTGGTAGGCTTTTTCTTTGATTTATAGGACTGCAAGCTGCTTTTCAGACTCTTACTAAGTCTCCTTTTAGAAAAGTTTTAACAGAATAGCAGTGTTTAGCTTTTTTTAAAATGAATATCCCAAAGCAAACTCATAGTTTAAGGCTAGATTGAGCCTTTATCGAAGCCTCACGTATGAGGCAGCATATTCCTCTCCAGACTGGTGCTCCTTACTATATTAGAGCAGGTCAGTGAAATTGAAACTTTGCACAAAAATTCCCATTTTTTGTTGGAAAGTAAAAACAAAAAAGTTGGTATAATTTTTTGAAAGTTTTCATTTTCTTTTTTGTGGGAAAAATTCCACTTTTTAATTTTTTTTCTTCCTTTTTCTAACTCAGAAGAGAGGGAAAAAATGGTTTCTCCCACCACCAAAACAAATTTTATTATCAAATAATGAAAAAAACATTATATTTTGAACAGAGTGAGAAAAATGTTTCTTTTGTGTTTTTTTCCAAATAGTTCTACTCACTATTTATTATTTAATTACATAGATGAGGATATTTGGAGTGACCTTGACCTTCTCAATGCTAGATATTCTGGAAACATTTGCCAATAAATTACAATAAGAGAAGACTCATGCTGTCATGCTAATGGTAAAAATAATATCTTCCATCTGGCGTGATAAAAAATGGATCTCAAAGTGCTTTGCAGTCTTTGCTTTTGTGATGGAGCCAATCACTCACTGAAATGAAACTACCTCTGAGGTGGAAACGCAGCAACAAGTCTGTGTTTGCACACTTGTGCATCAGTCTTCGAAGCATAGTGAAGAATACCCCGTCTAAGAGCAACGAGTGGAAGAAAATAGGCAGGCGGAGTGACTTTTCTACCTCTGTGAAATATTTTGAGATAAAAGTGCTTAGTATTGTTGTTGATAATAACAAGCACCTGAATAGGAATTTAGTGAGGAAATTGATCCTACTGCCTCTACTCTCATGCCAAGTGCTATGGTGGGTCTTTGCTGATTATAAGTAGTTTTGTCTCAGTTTCAAGTCTCATTAAAAATTTCGGTATAGTAGCCAGTACCACCATGCTGGGGCATTCATTCTGTTCTGTACTAGGAAGAGGGCCAGCCTCCTGTTCCTGCATGAACTTGTTGGCTTTCAGGGGATGATATGCCAGAATTGTCTGTTTGAGAGAAGCTATAGAAAGAAGGTGTGCCAGTGTTTGCAAATTTCAAATATTCATCCACATCACCAGCTTTTAGCTAGAGAGGGGCTTGAACCAAAACTCCAAGTGCAAACACCCTGAGAAAATTCTGACCCAAATTTTACAATTACGGGTCATCTCTAGTTTCCACTGCACCTCCAAATGGAATATGTCACTCACTTTAGACAAATATCTACCCCACACCTAGTGTTCTCTCACCATATATTCTTGTGAAACCTTGAAGATAGGTTGACAGGAAACTTTAGGCAAGATCAAAAAGAAAAGATCCCCCACATCATTGCAAACTTGAGGGCACTCAGCACCTCAGAGGAGTTCTCACTAACTAGCAGGATCAAGTCCCACTTTAGTGTCCTATGCTTCACTTGAGGCCTTTGCAATGCATTCAGAAGACAAGCTTTACATATTTTAGGTCTTAGAGAGTGAAAAGTGTGACTGCAGCATGCATTGACTCTGGAAATTCTAACCAATAAATCTTTTATAAGGCAGAACAATCATTGTTGCTAAAATTTATTAGCTGTAAATATCTGTTGAAAGTGGTGGTGCTAGATGACAATTGGCATGTAATAAAATAGGCTCACAAAGGATAATGATCTAAACCAGAGATGGGCAAACTACGGCCTGCAGGCCACATTCGGCCCGCGGGACCCTCCTGCCTGGCCCCTGAGTTCCTGGCCCGGGAGGCTCGCCCCCAGCCCTTCCCCTGCTGTTCCCCCCCCCTCAGCCTCAGTTCGCCCCACCACCAGCGCAATGCTCTGGGTGGCGGGGTTGTGAACTCCTGGGGCAGCGCAGCTGCAGAGCCGTGGCCTGACCTGGTGCTCTGTGCTGCGCGGTGACGTGGATGGCTCCAGCTAGGCACCTGTCCTGGTGCTCTGGGCAGCGCAGCTGTAGTGCTGCTAGCCACCGGTGCTCCAGGCAGCACGGTAAGGGGGCAGGGAGCAGGAGGGGTGGGGGCTAGAGGGCAGGGGAGTTCAGGGTGGTGGTCGGGGGTGGGGGTGTGGATAGGGGTTGGGGCGGTCAGAAGGCAGGGAACAGAGGGGTTGAATGGGGGCAGGGGTCCCGGGGGCTGGTCAGGGGACAGGGAGAAGGGGTGGTTGGATGGGGCAGGGGTCCTGGGGGGGCAGTCAGGAATGAGAGGAGGGGTTGGATGGGGTGGTGGGAGGCAGTCGGGGCGGGGGTTCCGGGGGCGGTCAGGGGACAGGGAGCGGGGGGGTGGATGGGGCTGGGGTCCTGGGGGAGGGGCTGTCAGGGAACAGGGGGGTTGGATGGGGCAGGAGTCCTGGGGGGGCTGTCAGGGGGCAAGAAGCGCAGGGGGTGGGGGGCTGGGCCACGCCTGGCTGTTTGGGGAGGCACAGCCTCCCTTAACCGGCCCTCCATACAATTTCTGAAACCCGATGTGGCCCTCAGGCCAAAAAGTTTGCCCACCCCGATCTAAATACTTAAATTTTTAACATTGCTGTTAGCCACGAGATTTTTATCCACAGGTCAGACAGAGAAAATATTGCTCCAGTGTTTTCAGTGTGCTGCATACAGTACACCACATCTCAGTACAAAATATAGATTGTGTAGCACATGATAAAATCATGAGTCAAGTGCAGTGTTCAACTTTTGTAATCTTTCTGTGGTTACTTGGGAACCAAACATCTGTTCTCTCTATGAATCATGGCATTTGCATTGACATGGACTGATGACTAACTGGCTGAGTTATTTGTTTATATCATTTCTGGGGCTCCATTTCTACCTTATAAATGATATTTGGCCTTCCAGAGTGACCTCAGACTTAATGCCTATACAAATTCTGCTCTCACGCCAGTGTATGGAACTTCTATGGAAATCAGTGGAAGATGCACAAATCTAACTGAGGGCAGAACTTGACCCATTATGATGATCTGCCCTCCTTATATTGAGTAGGAGTACCTGTACTACATGAGTAGGCCTATTGATTTCAGTGGGCCTCTCAGTGTGTAAGGTACCTCTCACTGTGAGCATGAGTGGCAGAATGAGGGCTATAATGAACAAAGAATTGACTTTTTAAAATGTTGGATAAATAAAAGGCATTTTTGGCTCAGTTCTTTCCTGTGCCTGAGCTGTGCCCAGCACAGAAGAGTTGGGGGCCTGAGGGAGCCAGTTGCAGCTCTCTGATTTGGCGCCGCCTGACCTGGCATTAGTTAGAGTGGTGGAAGGGACTTTACACCAGTGGAGCATAGGTATGGCAATGCTCTGCTCCACCATGATCCCCCACTTTGGCATTCCACCTGCCTCCCTGACACATTTCCTGTGCTGGCTGTGCTAGCTTTACCTACCACAGGAAGTCTCCACAAGGATCCAGGCACTTAGCATCACTCAGACAGTGCAAAATGGCCAGAGCAGAAAGGGGAATCTGCCTCACTGTCAGTAGCTCCGGCACTGTACCAACTTTTGCATATGGTGTAAGCATATCCTATGTAGACCTAGCTTTTAATTTTAATATTTTTAGGGCTACATTCTGTCTTGTCTTGCACGGATGCCCTCTAGCATAGCCATTTGGAAGCTGGGCAGGATGTTGCTACTTATTCTTTGAGCACAAATGCAACATAGCTAGTGTGCAACTTCCTCCCAGACAGTTAAATAGGGCCTCACATCCTCCAAGAGAGATCATGTGCTGCAGTTGTCTCCACTGTGAGGATCACTGCTCAGCATGTTTCTCTTTGTGGTCATTCACCTGGATCCGCCCTGCACACTGAGAGCCCTGCTGCTTGGGCACTGCACATCACAGGGCACCATAGACAGAGCTTAGGCCTTTCCCCCCTTCCCCACTGAGGATGCCACAGCACTTTAGCTGTTGTGCATTTGGCCATGTTTGTATGGAACTTCCTTGACAATACCAGACTACCACCTCAGCTGAACTGGTTGTGCCTTTTGGGACTCAAACTCTACAAAGGCTGGGACGTTCCCAATCTTGCTATGAGAATCAGAGTTGCCAGACACATGTGACAGTGGTACTTTTAAAGTTCAACTGTTTTCTCCCCTTTCTGGCACCTGGTACTATAGCTGCTTACCTGGTACTCATTTTTCTTCTAGTGCCAACAATATGCCTAAGCAGGTAGAAGTACGAATGCATGAAAGCCACCTGAGCCCTGTGGAGCCAAGGCCCAAGAATGTATGCCTGCGGTTCTGCCAATCACTCAGAAAAAACCTGCTCCTGTCTCTTACTGTATTTGGTAAGATATACTCTGCTTGTATGCATCCTATGTTTCTTTGTGTTTGTCCATCTTACACCACAGACTGTGCCTGTGTTCAGCAATGGCAAACTTGTAGGCAATCTCAGCTGGGCAGCCAAGGAATGAATGGGCAACGGAGACTGAACTTACCCTTTCCCCCAGTAAGCATGGTTCTGTTAGTTCAGGGAAAAGGCACATGGATGGAATAGCATGGAGGAATCCTGCAGAGCTGATGTCCATTCTGCAAGTGTTTTGTGGATGTAATAGGACTTAAGTGATGTCTTTCATCACCACTAAAGAAAATTGAGATTTTTTTCTTTTTTCAATCTCTTTGAAAATATAAAAACAAACCCTTTACCTGATCCTTTACACTTTCCTCCACTCAGCCTGTCTGAGACTCAAGCTTTATCTCCTATGTCTCCCTTGCCACAGACATTGGGTTCAGTGACCTAGTTTGAAATAGTGCTTTCTGGTTTTAGCACCCTCCAAATATGGATCAGTTTGACATCTTTTTGTGGTTCACTGGCCCCATGTCCACTCCTTTTTTTTCAAATGCAGTGAATTCACAGACCCAGTCCATTTTGCCATAGCTTAAATGACCAACTGCAGCTTTAGTTCAAAAGTAGTACAACTTTTAACCTTCCCATAGCTGAAATTGGACAAGAAGTTTGAGCTTGGACCAGTCCCTCAAAGATGCCTGATTCACTTCCCAAGAGGATCACAATGATAAAATAAGTTTATTTTTCATTGAACCAACCTGATATCACGATAGAACCATAAGTTATTCCAACAATACTTTCAAAGCACAATTCAGATTGTCTTGTGGTATCTTATTACAATGGAGATTGTACACGGGGCCTGAGATCAGAAAGACAGAGACAGCTGAGATGAAAACACGCAGTAACAGTGCAAAGGGAAATTCAAGTATTTTAAAGATGTAAATGCTGTGCTTAGATTGTAAGCTATTTGGGGCAGGGACTGTCTTTTTGTTCTGTGTTTACATAGCACCTAGAAAAAATGGGGTGCTGGTCCCTGACTAGGGCTCCAAGATAATATTGCAATACAAATAAGCATAGTAATAACTAATCAAAGGAATTGTTTAGGATGATCTAAAATAGTGAGACTAAGCACAATGGGATGAAATTCAGCAATCAGAGGTTTAGGCTGTATATTGAAAAATGTTATCTAACAGTGACATGTACAGGATTACGGAAGTCTCTTAAGGGGAATAGTGGCAGCCCCATTGCCTTAGCAATTTTAGATTGGAATAGATGAAAACGTGTACTGTATTGTACTCCGCTGTAGGTAACAGTCCTGACAGGGGGTAATCTATTAGGTCTTTTCTGCTCTGTTGTGTGTTTGTGAACTGGATACTAATAGCAATCCATTCAGAGAACTCAATGTTGGTATTAAATATATTGGTAACAAAATGTTGAATGTATATTCATCACTAAATTTTTCTAGTTTTCCCATCAGATCTATCCCTGAGCTGTGATATTGTTTGCCAATTCTTCTGTAGGAAGAGAGCTCAAAGCAAAATATATGCTTGGTAAGACTAATACCATTGGGGTTTAGAAATGGCGCTGTTCTAGTGGTGAAAGCAGAGGAGCGGTACTCAGGACTGATGGGTTCTATTTCTGGCTCTTCTACTGATTGTATTTGGCTTTGACTGTCAGTATAGTCTTGAGTAATTCACTTCACCTCTCTGTGCCTCAGTTCAGCCATCTGCACAGTGATTATACTAATTACACTTACCTTCCTCTGAGGGCATTGTAAGGCTTAATTAATATTTGCAAATTACTGTGAGGTTGTCAGATGAAAGATAACACTGGACAGAATGTAGTAGGATTATTCTGAAACCATTTTCCTTCAAGATTGTTCTTTTGTGTGTTGAATAAAGATTCAAGTTTCCACTGTACTCCATGCTGATAATGCCTCAACTGGAGTATTGTGTCCAGTTCTGGGCACCATGTTTCAGGAAAGATGTGGACAAATTGAAGAAAGTCCAGAGAAGAACAACAAAAATGATTAAAAGTCTAGAAAACATGACCTATGAGGAAAGATTGAAAAAACTGGATTGGTTTAGTCTGGAAAAGAGAAGACTGAGGGGGGACATGGTAACAATTTTCAAGTACATAAAATATTGTTACAAGAAGGAGGGTGAAAAATTGTTCTAGTTAACCTCTGAGAATAAGACAAGAAGCAATGGATTTAAATTGCAGCAAGGGAGGTTTAGGTTGGACATTAGGAAAAACTTCCTGTCAGGGTAGTTAAGCACTGGAATAAATTGCCTTGGGAGGTTCTGGAATCTCTGTCACTGGAGGTTTTTAAGAACAGTTAGACGTACACCTGTCATGAATGGCCTCGTTATTACATAGTCCTTCCTTGAGTGCAGGGGACTGGACTAGATGACCTGTTGAGGTCCCTTCCAGTACTACACTTCTATGACTCTATGATTCCTTTCCCCACCCTTCCTTTTTAATTTTCCTTTCAGGTGTCATCATGGGTGCATTGTGTGGGGGTCTTCTTCGCCTGGCAACTCCTATTGATCCTGACATCATCATGTTAATAGCCTTCCCAGGAGATATCCTTATGAGGATGTTAAAAATGTTGATCCTACCTTTAATTATATCCAGTTTAATCACAGGTGAGCTCTATTAGCAATAAATGCTTTAAAATGCTAGCTAAAGACACTACATGGTTCATCTTTAGTGAGAAGGGAAGAATAATTATGTGATGCAGTGAATCTTTTGCAATTAATAATAGCTGATTCATATTTCATGGGTCAAGTCCATTTCTGGTGTAACTTCATTGATTTCAGTAGTTGATGCTGCTAACCAATTTATGTCCAAATAAGCATGTGCTACTCTCTTGAATGTCACCATTTTCCTAATATACTGTCTTACCCACATCCTAAAGTGGGATTTGTATGAATGGCAGCACAGGTCCGGACAGCATGGATTGCTCAAAGCTGTGTGTCATCGTTGAAATGACCAGCTTCCAGGAAATAAAGGACATCACTACAAAGTTTGCGTTGCCCTAATGAACATGATTAGTGTTTCTCAATAACACCCCTCAATTAAGGATTCAGTTGAATTCAGTCTTCTCCACAGGTAGCAGGAGCTTTAAACATGTGTTGTTCAGATGGGAGAAAAATTGGAGGTTCTTCAGGGCACCGTCTACATTGTGAAGAATTCCTAAGGGAGGAAAAACATCTCAAGATAGTCACTAAAAATGGAAATAACTATAGGCAGAGTCTCCAGATGGTTTGTGATAATTTGATGAACTGTGTAATAACTAGTCCCACTGCATATTTCTTTAAACACAGGACTGTCAGGTTTGGATGCTAAAGCTAGTGGCCGATTGGGCACAAGAGCCATGGTCTATTACATGTCCACTACTATCATTGCTGCTGTGCTAGGGGTGATTCTGGTTTTAGCCATTCACCCAGGAAATCCAAAACTCAAGAAGCAGCTGGGAGAAGGAAAGAAAAATGATGAAGTATCCAGTTTGGATGCTTTCTTGGATCTCATCCGGAACCTGTTCCCTGAAAATCTAGTCCAAGCATGCTTCCAGCAGGTAAATACTCCTATTCCTCACAACATTCTTTTTAAATGAGAAGACCTTTTTAGATTCCAAGATATGTGTTCAGAGTTCTGTCTTTCACCTAGTGAGTGGCATTAAATTACTGATGGGGTGAATACAGGACTATAGCTTTGGGCAGGTAAATTAAGACGGGGAATAGTTTATAACTATTTTCTTTTACTATGTAGTAACTTTGTTACTGATTTCAGTTCTTGAAAAAGGTCAGTTCACTATTAAGTAATCTTTTTAAATCATCTCATTCTTCATGCACAATATTTAAAGCTCTAGAAAGATGCTGGGTTCTGGCTGGTTGATGAGTCATTGAACATTTCACCTCTCAGCTGCTGGTTAAATTTGAATTCAGCCCACGTGCTAACTGACTGATCTGATGTCAAATGCCCTCTGTGAAATATATTGGTGGTTTCAGGACAGTTCCCAGTGATCAGGTGTCCACATCACAAAACCCACTGTCCCATACAGCAAGTTCTGTATGGATAATGGAGCCAAATGGCTGAACTGCCTATAGAGGGCTCCACGAGGTCAGATGTAAGGCATCTTGTGGGGGCAGTGGCTGACATGGGAGGAGATTTACACTGCTGTTGCCTATTCTGGAGTTAAATACTTCAGCGTCTAATCACATTTCACCAGTACTAAATTAACACAGTGTTGGTAAGAGATAAAAAAAAAGGTTACAAAGAACATATGCTTCCCAGTTCCTCTGTCAGCAGCTTTCTTGTGAGTGAGATGCTTTTTCCTAAAGTTAAATTGTTTGGCAATCATGTAGCCTATTTTTGTTGACCCAAACAAGATTTGTTGCCAAACCCATTATTAGATGTTCCTAAATGGTACTACTTGAAATAGAATGTTAACTGGAGCTGTGGCTATAGGTGGGAGGGTTGGGTGAGGAGTAAAGTGAGAACACAGAGAGCGGCAGACTTAAGCTGCCAAAAGGACCCAGAGAGCTTTATTTCTTCCCCACAATCTCACATAAAAACAGAGTTTTAAAAAGAGTATGTTCAGAATATTCCCAAATCAGCATGGGGATAGAGGTCATGTGGCAACATCATGGCTGGCTAAAAACCACAATGTTTTATTTGAAAATTGAGAAGTGTCCTCAAAATAAGTGGGGTTCTGTTTTTTCCCCTTTGCTCCTACTTGTATCATGGAGAGGAAGAGAATTCAGCCCTTGATCTGTAGAAAATGGATCAAATATCCATAGGCAGGGACAGGGAATGAGTGGGAAAGAGAGTGAGGGTAAATTAAGCTGCTAATATCCAACACTTTTCTTGGACCTGTTCAGTGAGTATAGTGTTAATGGCTAGTGTACACAGTTCATCTTGCCACCTATGGCTCAGCTATCACACTGACCCTTTTTTAACATTGCCCCATATGGGCCCAGTCCAAAGCCTACCAAAGTCAATGGACAGACTCCCAGTGACTTCAATGGGCTTCAGATGGGGGCCAAATGAGCTTTTTAGTGTTCCCATATTTTATCTGAACAAATTCCAAACTAGCCTCCACCAAAGCTTCTGTCATAAAGTCACACCCCTTTTACTATTCAGCTGTAACCCTTCACATACTGGCTTTTTGAGTTGGCCTCTACTTGTTTTCCCTCTTGGTTACCGGGGAGGTTGGGGTCCTTTCCCCTCCTCACCTGGTTTGGGTGGTGTCAAAGGCTGCTTTCCCTTCCTCTGGTTATCAGGAATAGCTTAGTGGCCATTCAACATGTCCTGGTGGCCTTGGATGCAAGAAGTATTTTTGCAGAGCTCCAGCCAGGTATTTTAGAATTATTTTGTAATGTTAATGGCAGTGGCACTGAGTTGTAATGATCCACCAGCGAGAGAGACAGTTTCCCTTGCTGCCAGGTAGATGACAGAAAAGGGACTCAGGCTGCATGCAAAGTACAGCTTGGTTGGAGAGTTGAACCTAGCTGAGTTTGGGACTTTTGTGAACCTCTTGAATTATTTTTTTGGATTTAAAAACAGTTTGATTTGTAAACCTCATTTTCCTGTAATGAAACTCATTATTTCTCTACCCACCCATGCTTAGTTTGTGAGTTTATGTACTTCTAAAAAGTGTTACACCATCTCACTTAAATGTCTGATCTAGAATGATGACTAATGTCCAGATAAGTATTTTTTACTTTCAAGATGCTTATCAGAACCTGCACTTTGAAGTCAGCTCCTCATCACTAGTAATTATGGGTCTGATCCTGGGAAGTGCTGGGGACCTTCAGCTTTCATTGACTCCAATGGGAGTAGTGAGTGCTCAGAATCAACACCCCCTATTTATTTCTGTAGCGCTACACAGCTTTGACATTACATCTATCTCACATAAAAATCATAGGATGATAAAAGTCCCAAGATAAAAATGAAATCAGATAAAAAACAAATGTTGGCTGGCTTCAGGGTTGCTGAAGAGTTTCTCACACATTGTCAGTGTTCTTTTCTAGCTGAGTATTTTTATTTTCTAGATTTAGAGGAGGCACATTTTTAAACAGGAGTAAAATAAGATGTTAAGGCTTTGAATCTGGGCATCATCCACAATATATCCCACATAAGCCCTCCCAACAAGCTGCAGGTACAATTGTAACAGGATAAGGTGCAGAAATGGCTCTGTATCCCTAATACTTTAATTTCACAGTAACTTATCCAGCTGTTACGTACCAAGGTTTTTTCTGAGTGCTATCATTAATCAGATCCTACTATCGCTGCATATAGAAATAGCAGATGCTTTTCCAGGTAGCAGTGGTAAGATGTCCGTGCCAGGAGGGTCTCTATGTATACCAGTTTTATTTGAACTCTCATAGATAGGAACTTTGAAACAATCTAGAAAGGAACGAGTCACATGATGGGAGGAGATGTGTTAGAAATATCAGAACATGTTTTTGAACTAAACTATCATGGTAGCTTAGATCGGAGGTGCCCTCCCTGGGTAAAAGTCTTTATTGTGTAGCATTGTTGATGCAGAATTGCTGCTATCACTCACTCCAATGGTATGTACAGAATACAGTGCATGAAGCACTTTTTGATCCTTCTGGATGAAAGGGCCTATATGTAAGATGTTATGGATTAATAATTAAGAAGAGGGTGTTTGCCATCCTCATTATGCTGCTGTTTTGGAATAGGATCCCAGGACTTAATTACACTTGGAACTGTTATAAACTAACTTATTTTTGGAAGAGGGGTTAGAGGTGTTGGATTGCATGGTCTGATCCTCTAAAAACCGCACTGCCCGGGGTTATTTGGAAAGGGGAGTATTATTTTATTCTCTGATCCCCCGTATGTATTAAATCCAGTTGTGATTCCATTCTCATCCCATCTTGTAACTCCTTCAGATCCAAACTGTCACTAAGAAAGTGCTGGTGCCCCCACAAACTGAAGAAGCACCTAACGTCACTGACTCTGTCTTTGCTCTGATGAACGAGACGATGACCGAAGCACCACCAGAAGCCCAGCTGGTCATTAAAAAGGGGCTGGAGTTTAAAGATGGAATGAATGTCTTAGGTAAAGAAACTTGTTTCCTATTGAAACTTATATTGATAACATACCAGCTCTTGCTTTTCAGTGACAGTCAGTGGGTAGCCGGGTTGGTCTGATCAGTTCTGGAGTCCAAATTTGGCCTACGCAGTACATCACCAAAAGTGGCTACCACTTGCTGGCTGTTTGTTGGCCTAAGTGATACAAATCTGATGGTCTCAGTACTGTTCCTAGTGCCCATGTGCCCACATCACAGATTCAACCACCACAATTATCACTAATTGGCAACCTTATAGAAAGGCTGAGACATTAATAGTAACAATGTCTTGATCATTTGTTAGACTCTGTGAATACCCCAAATATCCTATGCATGGGGGAAGCTTGAACAGCTGGTGCCCTGCTTTATCTGTTCCATGGAGACAAAGAATTTAAGTCTGCTGGGCACTCTTTCTTGGGCACTTTGTTCTAAGTTGTAACTTTAGGGACAGCCCTAAACAAGGAGTCTCGGGGGTTGTAAACTGCACCAGTTGAGGAGAATCCCTTGGGGACATTGACATGCCTCTGAGTCATAATTCCCTCCCTGAGTCATAATTCCCTCCCTGCTTCCTCTTTGTCCAGAGGAGAGTAACCTTTAAAGGCACTAAATTACAAACCTCCTCCAACATGCCATCTCAGCTGTACTGGCCAGCAAATGGAGTTGGAGTTAAGTTTCTACTCATTTCCCACCCATTCCTGTCTGCTCACCTCATCAGTGGGAGAGAAAGAGGGGGCAGACATGCTGCACCTACATACTCCTGGGCACCGAGACACGTGGTCCTATTAGCCATGCCAGGGCTTAAGGAATGGTCCTGCTCCTGCTTACTCCCCTGTGTATAGTCCAGATAACAACCCAGCCACAAATTTGTGCTGTTTGAACACACATCCACACTTATTATATATCATTCCAAGGCAGAATGCTACCAGGGTCACTAGTATTTACTTATTACTATACATATATATATAAAAAGAGACAATCTGGATAATGTGAGAGATACATTAGATTTGGTCCTAGGTTTTGGAGGAAATCGTATCCCACTGACAATGTCATTAATAACAAGAGGGACTGAAAGGCCAATACATTGCTGAAGCAGAAGAAAATAAATCTACTACTGTATTATATAGTAATGGTCCAATAACACTAGAGCTTATATGATGCCATTACTACAGTAGTTTGTCCCATGATGACATATGTCAGGGTGGTTTATAAGAAAAATGAAAATGTAGGGGGATTGGCCTCATAGTTGCATGAGTTAAAGGAGCTGGGCAAATTCCAGCAAACACAAACAAATTTGAGTGCTATGAGTAATGTGACTGCTAGTTTGGCATTAAGTGGACAAAAACACCTACTAACATTTTCTGACCACAGTTGGGATTCCAGGAAGTGACTATTTAAGAGTTTATCAGTAACACATCACTCCATGCTCTATAGCACACACAGACACATATCCTTTATTTCTACTCAAGAACAACACCCCCATACTAATGAGTGAGTTTTTGGCTAGCCAAGCTGGTCATTTCTGGCATCTGCAACCACTTTCTTCCTCTGTTTTTGTATCCTAATGGGACTCACTTAGCTTTTTGACAAGGGAAATTCCCAGCTGAGCTCACACACTAGGTAAATGCTGAACTCTCATCATGTCTCACAGTTCAACCTCTTGAGGGTTGCTGAGCTTTAGAACTTTTTCTTGGTCTCTGCAAATTCACAGGTAGCAAAGCCTTGCATCAGAGCACACTAATCCTAAATAGCATATATAGATTATCAAATAATCCCTAGCGTACTCATTCACTCAATTGATTCTCATTTTGGTTTTCTAATACCCAAGAGTTTCCTCCATTTATTTAAAACAGTTACAATTTCCTTTGTTATATTACTATAGGGCCTGTTCCTGCTCCCATTGGATTTAAAGGGAAAACTCCCAATCATTTCATTTGGAGCAGCATTAGTCCCTTAATATGTATATCCATATTTTAAGATATACAGTTATTCCTTTTGGATGAGCTAGTCACAAGAAGTGTGTGTGGGTGGGTGTGTCTTGAGAGATGGGGAAGGGGTGTTCCCTTTGCATCTCACTGTATTCTGAGGTTGGCTCCTGTACAGGGTAGAACCACATCAGGGCTGCTCTAAACTTAGGCAAAGCTGGACATAGCCCCTAGAAGGTATTGTGGCAGCCAGAGCTCTTTGGGATCTGGCCACACCCCTTTGCCAGGCTGTGAGGCCTCTGCGGTCTCTATGGCATCAAGGAAGCCTATATTATGAGTGTTCCTTTGGTGGACAGGTCAACCAAAGGAACAGACAAGAGCAGTGTAAAGGGGCCATGCAATGGAGACTCAGTACCCCTACTTTCAAACTGAATCAAATCAAATACTGTAAATTCACTATTAATTATTATTTTATTGCTTGAGTCATCATCTAGGTGCTATATTATGATATAAAAAAAAACAGTCTCTATGCCATGGAATTTATAGGCTAGTAGAAAATAAAGAATAAAGAATACTTCTTGGTTTCCATTGTGGAAGTTTAGCGCAAGATCACATTAACAAGAGATAAAGCATTTCAGCTGTGAAATACAGTGCAGTTGTTTGAAGGTTGAATTAACAGGGTGGCTTTATTCTGACATAGCTGCAGAGACTCAGACCAAAAAACATGCTTCCTAACTGATGGGTTCTCTGTGGTGTGATTCCTCCAACAGGCCTGATAGGGTTCTTCATTGCTTTTGGCGTTGCTATGGGGAAGATGGGAGAGCAGGCCAAAGTGATGGTGGATTTCTTCAGCATCCTGAATGAGATTGTAATGAAACTAGTGACTATGATCATGTGGTAAGTCAAGATCGTAACTTCTAAGATACAAAAAACACAGAAGCCAAATCCTGCCACAGACTGGTCACATTATACTTTACTGGCAACCCATACAACTAAAGATTTCAGCTCCCTGGGTTGGCTCTTTAAACCATGACAAGGATGGCACAACTAGAAGTACATTGTTTCCTTTTGGGAGTGGGGTGCATTTTGAAACATTTCTGAAGATGACAGGCATGCTGTCATTTTTTGCATACAGGGCTCCAAGACATGCAGGCACCAGCTTAAGACCTTTAGCGCTAGTGTAAAAATATCACATTTATTATAGTGGTTTACTACAGTAAAAAACAAACATCCCTTCAAAACATAACAACATTAAGCTTCTCCTGTGAGTCTAGCATAATAATAAACCGTAGGCTCGGAGGCATAATTACAGAGGAGCCAAGAGGCATGCTCTATTTCCAGTGTTCTACAGCAAAATTGGCTTGCCCAAAATATGCATTCCACCAAAATGAGATTCCAATGGTTTGCATCAATATACGAAAGTCTCCTCCCATAGCCTCTGTGAGTCCACATGCAAAGTCTGCATTCTATAAAATCAGCAGAGTAAGAGGCACTGAACTGAGTTGTCACACTAGGAAAGTGTGTGGCATGCCCATTCAGAACAACTTCCCTTCCACGTCCCAGCAACGGAGTGACTCCAGCCAGTTGGGATGGAAGCCTTGTTTACATTTCTTGAGCAGGATTTTTTTTCTTTTGTATCACTTATTTGAGAGTTGCCCCAGAGCTATTTACTGTTTATATACAAGTGCCAAGTACGCCCATATCATCTACAGATAGCCTTTCAGAACAAAACATGCACAGCATTTGGCATAAAACCTATTGCTTTTGGTACATTGTGGGTCCTGCACTAATGAACTAGAGAGAGAGAGAGAGAGAGAGGAAGCAAAAAGCCCCTTCACTCACCCCATCACAGGACAATGTCATACCTTGGCTAGCAGTGGTGGGGAATGCCAGGAGAGAGCACTCTAGGGTTTCTGGCAGCTTTAATTCACACACCACTTTGGGTTAGCATTTGTTTGTGTCAGGATTAGTCCCATGTCCCTTATGCACTGACCCCCAGCTGCTGTGAAGTGCAAGAATAGAACAGGCCACACCATTGCAACATATGTAAGAAGACTCACTGCTCCGCATGACCCCTGGAAATATGACTTCCTTTAGTCACAGCACTAAAATATGCCTCCCTATGTGGTTTAAATTAATTAAGTTCATTGGGGTGCTATTCATTAGTGCCTGGAATGTAACTGATGTTTTGAGGTTTCATGTGGAAGGCACTATATAAGAATGATGCTTAGGCTACATCTACACTACAGGGGGGAGTCGATTTAAGATACGCAAATTCAGCTACGTGAATAGCGTAGCTGAATTCGACGTATCACAGCCGACTTACCCCGTTGTGAGGACGGCGGCAAAATCGACTTCTGCGGCTTTTTGTCGGCGGCGCTTACTACCACCTCCCCTGGTGGAGTTAGAGCGCCGATTCGGGGATCGATTGTCGCGTCCCGACGGGACGCGATAAATCGATCCCCGAGAGGTCGATTTCTACCTGCCGATTCAGGCGGGTAGTATAGACCAGACCTTAGCTGTGTGAGACTGTGTATAATGACAGCTGAAAAGGAGGTAAAACAACAGCCTCATTTTCTTACTGTCTCTCTATTTTTTCAGTCTGGTCCCTCACCACAAATAGATAGTGTAGCTTTTGTGAGGAAACCTATTTTGATTGCAACATTTATTATAATCTGCTGCTCTCTAATATATAGACAAGCAATTAATATAATTCTTCAAATACTCCAAGAAATTGGGTTTACCAATATTCCACTTAAGCAGCACTGGCCAGCACACCCAGGGCAAAAATTGTTACTTTGGTCTAATCAGTAATGTAAAGCTTCTGTTGGCTTCCGGGTTGTAATTACTAGAGCCATACCAGTAGAACAACATTAGTTTTTCATTGATGTTTCAGTACATGTTCCTCTGTCCTAGAGAGGGGAGACTGAGTGATACCAGCAGTACCTCTCATTCATCTTTGCCCAGAATTTTTAAAGAATTATTGTTGCAGGGGATGAGAATCAGCCTTTTGTGTTCATAAAGATAAAAACCTTCCTCCTTTACACAAAGGTGCCATCACGCCAGCTATTTAAAATTTCTTTGTGAAGAAAGCTCCAGGCCCTTGGGCAATTCCAGTGATTTGAGACTCTTATGAGCCATAAGAACATAAAATAAAGTTGGGTATCTGGTTGTCTGGGTACACATACTAAATCCTGACACAGCAATATTTGATAAATTGGTTACTGTCCATTTAGTAGATTTTCTGAAAAACAACATCCATAAAAACAACTGGATCTACGTCAACTACTGGTGTATCATGGGGTAATGCAATCCATGGAACAGAGAAGCTAGACATTCCTGTTTCCTGCCCAGCAAAGCTTACCAGAGGGTGACAACCAGCAGGAAGGGTAACCCATAACATGAATGCACAGTACTGGGTAGTAACTAATTACAAGACATTTATATATAAAGACCTCATTTGTAGTGTCACTACTCCAAATTTCTATTTTACTTCTCATATACATAATACTGTGAAACACACTATAACAATGCCTATCCCAGTATTTTAAAACACTCAGCCTACTACTAATGATGATACAGGTGATAACTGCAATTGCCCTAATAGGAGTGTATTTCTATCTGTGTCACCACAGTAAAAGGGCCAGAATTCAACACCAGACTGGAAAAACATGGTTAAGTTTGGATATAAGGTGGTGTCATATGTACATATACATACTATACATATATACGCTACAAATATATAGCCATATCCATATTATTCATATATATTAATTATTTGGGAGTGCCTCTAAGGCTCAATTATAATACTACATTCCTCCGTCATAGTCCCGGGCCTAACATTCCCAAGCCCACCATAAAGGACTAAAAATAATTGGATAATAAAATCTGTCAGTCAAACGAGGGAATGTGCAGACTAAAAAGACAGGTGGGTCATGAGTGTATGGATGGTAAAATAAGGTAACCACATAATAGTGTTTAGCCCACTGGGTTATCTTTAGTCCATGCATTATGCTTTTCCGGGACAATGGGTAAACATCCTTCCCATAAAAAGACAAAAAGTGGGAGAACGTAGTAAGATGAGGCCGTGAAACATAAGCCTTGTATCACAGGCCCGGAATGAGGCCTGAGGCCTGAACTAAAGTAATGGTCAAGACTTTACTAACATCAAGCAAAGTTAAGCTCTGAGCCAGAGGCAGGCCCTGCTCACAGAAGTTGGCAAGAAGAAGCCTGCTAATTGCACATATACACATATCCGGGGCAGCACACAGAGGGAACACACTCACGCAGCCGATTGTTATCAACATTGAACAGAGCAGAGCATCACACTAGTGACATCTGACAACTGAACAAAATTGTTTTGAATAACATGTGTCTCAGTTAGGATGTAGTGTTTTTTGTGGCGTGCTGTTTTAACCATTTAACAGCCATGGTTATAGTTTGCAATATTTTACATTTTAAGGCTCCAGTCTCTGCCCTAGCCTTACAAATTACATTACATGTTTCTTCTCCATTATATTTTTTAAATTCTGTGGGGATTTGCACGGAGGGGTTAAGGGGGTTCCGTAGCTCGTGGTTTTCTGTCATGTTAGATCGCTATTCCTGGAACAGACAGCTTGCTTACTCACCAGATCAGTGGTCGGGGTCACCAATGTTGTCAGACATAGAATCATAGAATATCAGGGTTGGGAGGAACCTCAGGAGGTCATCTAGTCCAACCCCCTGCTCAAAGCAGGACCAATTCCCAACTAAATCATCCCAGCCAGGGCTTTGTCAAGCCGGGCCTTAAAAACCTCCAAGGAAGGAGATTCCACCACCTGCCTAGGTAAAGCATTCCAGTGCTTCACCACCCTCCTAGTGAAATAGTGTTTCCTAATATTCAACCTAGACCTCCCCCACTGCAACTTGAGACCATCACCAGTGTGGTGCTCTGCTCTGTTCAATGTTGATAACAGTCGGCTGTGTGCGTGTGTTCCCTCTGTGTGCTGCCCCGGCTCTGCGCAGATAGCTGGCACAGCAGACCCCAAGAGAACCCCCAATGACCACAGACTCCGATAAGGTACGAAGGCACCCAGCCAGGTTTATTGCCAAACGAAACACAGTCTCTAGCTCCCCAGATCAGATGTCTACAGTTCTGTTAGTACATATGTGCTCCCTGACAATGGACACAGCTCAGTCAGTGGAGAGACTCTCCACTGCCCCCTAGGCTGGACAAAGACATCCGCTCAGGGATGCATTCTTATACACAGGTACAAACAAGTTACACATCACTCCTGACGTATTGAGGTACAACCCCTCTACATGTTAGGGTGCTGCCTCTCTCCTGGTATAGGTTGGTTTGAACAAACAACTCTATCCATTATATTATCCTTTTGACCCTGTCTTTAGGATGTGTCAACCTGTTCCTCATTAGCTCTGTGGAATATGTTCGTACCAGACAGGGCCGGCTCTAACTTTTTTGCCGCCCCAGGCAAAAAAGAAGAGAGCCGCCCTGCCATACCCCCCCCCCCCCCCGCCCCCCCCACCACCCCCCCCCCCGCCCCCGCCCTCCCTCCGAGCACTGCACCACCCGAAGGCCCACCCCCCCAGCACCACGCCGCCCGAAGACCCCGCCCCTACTCCGAGCACCGCGCCGCCGAATCAAAAAAATAAAAATAAAAATAAAAAATAAAAAAGTAGAGTGCCGCCCTGCCCCAAGGTGCCACCCCAAGCACGTGCTTGGTCGGCTGGTGCCTGGAGCCGGCCCTGGTACCAGAATGTTCTAGTGCCATTCTGGCACATGTTCATCCTATTAGGACTTGATACCTTTTAGATATGTGTATACATGCAATTAGCAACCGCCTTCTTGCCAACTTCTGTGAGCAGAGCCTGCCTCTGGCTCAGAGCTTAACTTTGCTTTATGTTAGCAAAGTCTTGACCATTACTTTAGTTCGGGCCTTATTCCGGGCCTCTGATACAAGGCTTGTTTCAGGGCCTCATCTTACTACAGTGGTGATGCTGTATATCCCTCTACAGGGATTATCTTGGTGAATCTTATAGGAAACAGACTGCACAGCAACTGGTGAAATGGTTTGAAATATTACACCTAAATTTTGAAGTGACTAGTGAAGGTAGGTGTCATTTTTTGGGTGATCTGGAGAAAGGGGTAAACAGTGAGGTGGCAAAGTTTGCAGATGATACTAAACTGCTCAAGATAGTTAAGACCAAAGCAGACTGTGAAGAACTTCTAAAAGATCTCACAAAACTAAGTAATTGGGCAACAAAATGGCAAATGAAATTTAATGGGGATTTGTTTACATGAATGTTTTGGAAAGGCTTTTCAATATGGACTAAATTATCCCTGTGCAGAGGAGCCCAGCACAAACCTATGCAACATTTATGTCCCACTTAAACCTTCCTGATAAGGGTAAAAATGTATGAAAGTGACATATAAACTTTGTACTGACTCCTCTGAGGTGGAGTAAATGTTACTTTGTATGAACTCACATTCACATGACATGAAGGCATTCCTCATACACATTATTTGTCATTTATTAGAAGTATAATAAATGAACAACGCACCATCAGGGCCGGCTCTGGCTTTTTTGCCGCCCCAGGCAAAAAAGCCTCCGGCCGCCCCCCCCCCCCCCCGGGGGGGGGGGGGGGGCCGGAGCCCTGGGAGGAGGGGGGTGAGCCCCGGCGGGGGCTCCGCTCTCCCCCCGGCGGCCGGGGGGAGGGCGCCGGGGGGGAGGGCGGCCGGAGCCCTGGGAGGAGGGCGGCGAGCCCCGGCCGGGGCTCGGTTCTCCCCCCGGCGGCCAGAGCGCAGGGGGCAGGGCGGCGAGAGGGCGGCGAGCCCGGCTGTGGCCCCGCTCTCCCCGGCGGCCAGAGCGCCGCGCCGCCCCCCTCCAGGTGCCGCCCCAAACACAAGCTTGGTGGGCTGGTGCCTGGAGCCGGCCCTGCGCACCATGCACAGTCGGTGGAACCCTTTGCCAGAGGATGTTGTAAAGGCCCAAACTATAATAGGGTTAAAAAAAGAACAAGATAAATTAATGGAAGATAAACCTATCTATGGCTATTAGCCAGGATGGGCAGGGATGGTGTCCTTGTCCATTCCCAGCTTCTGGCAAACAGAGGCTGGGAGTGGACAATGGGATGGATTACTTGATGATTACCTGTTCTGTTCATTCCCTCTGAAGCACCTGGCATTGGCCACTGGCGGCCGACAGGATACTGGGCTATATGGACCTTTAATCTGACCCAGTATGGCTAGTCTTATGTTCTTATAAATTATGTAGTACCAAAATGTGTTACTGTTAGTCTCATTTAAAATCAAGGAGCAAAAGTAATACCATGTAACTTAGGTGACCAGTCACACACCACAGGTAATCAAAGCATATAGTTAAACAATCCATAGATTGAAAACTGCTTGTCGAAACAATTCAATGAGCATAAAATAAATTGGCTCACAGGAAAAATGGCTAGATGCATCAGATCATTTATCTGCAACAAATAATTCAAACCTGAACTTGATGAAAAATGCTACATAACAGTTAAGTATTATAACCAAAATATAGTATTCTTCAGTAAAGATCCAAAACACTTGCATGTATAGTACAGTTACTAGCTGCTTATGGGATATTACTATAGGGCCAAAGCCTTACTCTACAAACATACATTGAATTCAATGGTGGTGAGTAAAAAAATTGAGTAGAAATTGAGTAAAAACCTCAGAATTTGGCCCCTAAAGTATTGTATTACTTTTAGTGGGGTGTTATGGCAGGTTCCTCTGAATAGGCTTTACTCATACCAAATTAAGAGAGGCATGAAGGACAGCCACTGAACCATCATCATTCAGTAGTTCTGTATCCTCTTCACATCTCAAAGAGTTCAGTCTAGAAGCCTGGATCTCTCTCCATAGTCCCACATGTTTTTGTGCACAGGTTTTATGGCTGCATGCTGCAAGGATCAGTTCCATCTGTTTGTTCTGTTTTTTTCCCCTAGGTACTCTCCTTTTGGCATTGCCTGTCTTATTTGTGGGAAAATCATTGCAATTAAGGACTTAGAAGTGGTTGCTAGGCAACTTGGAATGTACATGGTAACGGTGATCGTGGGCCTTCTCATCCATGGTGGGATCTTCTTGCCTTCACTGTACTTTGTGATAACAAGGAAAAGCCCCTTCACATTCCTTGCTGGCATTTTCCAGGCATGGATCACAGCTCTAGGCACAGCTTCCAGGTACTCCATGTGAACTGCCACCTTATTTATATTTTAGCAGCTCATTAGCTGCCATTTAGACATTATGCAGCTGCTGTTCTGACCTTCACTAGAAAGTTATTTTATCATTAATATCAATCAGTAAACAGCTTTTGCTCACCTTAATCTATTTGGGGAAAAAAACCTTTACCTCACACTCTGTAGGCTTTAATAAAGAGAGGCAGTATGGATAGTGGCCATAGAGGCTGGATAGTGGCCCCAGGCTGAATGTCAGGGGACCTGACTTCTGTTCCCTGTGCTGCCACTGACTCACTGTGTAAACTTGTGCAAAAACATCTGTGCTTTAGTTTCCTGTCCTGTAAAATAGGGATAATGCTACTTACCCACCTTGGTTAAACACTTTAAGGTCTGTGGATGAAGTACTATAAGTGTTATTAGTTATTAAAAGGAAATGTACAGAGCCATAATTGTCACAAGGCTCCATATGTGTCACAGTTCTGGGGTTAACTGCACCTCTGCCCTCCTCTGTCATCTACTCAAGCATGCCCCTTTACATTGCAGGCCTCCAGTAAAACCTCTCTGTGAGTGGATACCCACATCCCTCTCTCTCCAGACCAAGGATTTAGGTTTGCTGTTCCCCTGCAATTCACAGTGACTATCCCAGCAGCTCTGATATCAGTCCAGCACCTGCAGTTCCTCTCTCCCAGAGGCTATGACAGTGTTTACCAGTGACAAGCCAGCTTTCACGAAGTACAGTACATTTATTTTAGGGCAAAAGTATTAGAGAACTATATCCTGAAACAATAAACACTCTGCATGTGTGCTAAGCTTTTTTTATATATACTTTGTGTGACATCACAGAATGAATATTTGATTGGCTGTGGTAAAAACTAAACCACACGGGTGCCAGAATAGAGTTGGCTGAAACTATTTACCAGGTTCATGTAGCTCTTTTTAAAAAACCCTCAGTGAGTAAGAAAGGCAATCTAGCATTATAAGCACAGGACCAGGAGCCAGGAATACGAGCACCAAATTGGCCTCTGACACTTACTTCATCTGTGATACTGAAGAAGTCACTTTATAGATATCCCCATTTTACAGAAGGGTAAAATGAGATACTGAAAGATTTTGTCCTACTTCATAGAGTCACTATGGGGACTAAGTAATGAATATGTTAAATGCTGAAGTTGCAAGGTAGTATATGCAATATGTAGTAAGGATTTATTGTAGTATATTTTAGTGAGTTCAGCCCTTTGTTCTGCTCACTATAAGCAATAGTAAACATTCTTGTCAGACCAAAACTAGTATTGATACAGTAATCAGGATGACCTTTGAGAAATTTCCATTAGCTCACATGGGGGTATGCAAACGAGTTGGTACAGACATGCTTCAGCTATTAACGAATTTCCCCAGAACAGTGTTCACTTTTCAGAAGTGACTCTGGTCAGGATATAACCAAGTTAATTTAGTGGAGGGTTGGACCACAGTCAAGCACTGAAAATGAAAAGCATCAATATATGTAATTGAATTGGATTCATTAATTTAGAGGCAGATCCTTCAGTTGAGCTATGCACACTTGGGCAGCAGAGGAAGGAATCTTAACCAGGGCTGCCCAGAGGATTCAGGGAGCCCGGGGCAAAGCAATTTTGGGGGGCCCTTCCATAAAAAAAGTTGCAATACTATATTCTCGTGGGGGCCCCTGTGGGGCCCGGGGCAAATTGCCCCACTTGCCCCCCCGGGCGGCCCTGATCTCAACTCACTGGACAGAAAGAGTTGTTATGGAACAACTCTGCTGAGGGTACTCAGGCCCAACGGGTGAAACAGCCTGCTCTGCCCCCTAGAGAGGGGTGGCAGGGAAGATCCACACAAGCACCTGTTCCTCAGCGCTAGCCTTGCTGTCCCCCAAGCTCTGTGAATGAGGAGTGCACAGGCCACTGGTTCCTCTGCAAAGAACACCTCCACAACTGAAGAGATGCAGGATTTGACCCTTCAATATTGATTTGAATTCCCATCGCAAAAAGCTATTTGGCTCTGTGCTTTGAAAAAAATCCAAGAAATAATTCATAAATTGGATAGAGAGTCCAACTAGCCCCTCTGTGACCCAGAATCTCACCTCCAGTTAATACTGGAGTGTGTCTTGATTGAAAAAAGGTTTATGGACACAGGAGGATTAAAAACAACAAAATTTGGCAGAGGAAGGGAAAATATGTAATGTTGCCAGCTTTCTAGCAATGAGGTACTAAAAATCATGTATTAAGCACTGTGCTCGTCTTTCCCATAGAATTCAGTAACTTCTATTTGGTTGCACCTTCTTTAATGCACGTATTGGACTTGAGAAAGGAAATGGTCATAGCAAAATTGCAATAGTTCAGATCTTGTTCCATCATGCAAGAATATTATGTACCACGTAACCCTGTCTTTCTTCATGTCTTTGCTCATTCTTTTAGTGCTGGTACATTACCTGTCACTTTCCGTTGTCTTGAAGAAAACTTGGGCATTGATAAGCGTGTAACAAGATTTGTCCTGCCTGTTGGAGCAACAATAAACATGGATGGGACGGCCCTTTATGAAGCAGTTGCTGCCATCTTCATAGCACAGATGAATGGAATTGTGTTGGATGGTGGGCAGATAGTCACTGTGAGGTGGGTTCTGTACATTTCTGCAAACAACTGGGTCTTTGATTTAGAACGCTGTATAGCATGAAGACGCAATGATGGTTTCTGAATGCCTATGTATTCTTACACAGTGAAATGTGTGGACTTTGGCTTCTCACAGTGGTATTGAATGGATAAGACTATTAAATAGATATGGCCCTGATTCATAGGTTCTAAGACCAGAACGAACCATTGTGATCCTCTAATCTGACCTCCTGTATTAACACAGGCCGTAAGACTTCCTAAAGAGATTCTCCACTGCCTTGCAATGTGTATTGTCATCATTTGTGACTTCTGGGTTAGTAACATTTTAAACTCACTTTGTACAGGAGTAAATGACAACACGAGGTGCAAAGCAATGGTCTTGTCTGTCCAACATAATAAACTTAGTTAAATGTGGAGGGATGCTCCAAGCTAGGTACAGGGCATTAATTATTTAGAAAGTCCATACGAGTACTAATAGAAAAAGACTTTCCCATAAAAAGTATCCATATAGTTAGCTTGGGTTATTCCCTCTTATTTTGCCAATAAATAATAAAAATAATGGCCTTGGTGCAAGGCATTTTCAGGCTGTGAGGGGGCAATGGTGAGGAAGAGATATGGCTGCAGTGTAACATATTATGGCATAGTCCAGATGAGCAGAGGGATTTCTTGGGAACTGCTATCTGCCAGTAGACATGAGAGCAGCCCTCATGCACTTTTAAACTTGTCCTAGGGCCAGTTTGGCTCTAGGCAGCCCCTTTGATTAGGGGAAGGAGGGGCATATATGCCTTCCCATCCCACATTTACAATGAGTGTTGCTGTGGCACAAATACTGATGTAGCCCTTGAGTTCCTAGAGGCAAGGCTGGGAGTCACAGGGTATTCTACTCACCACTTGACAGCTCCTCCTCCAGGCTGTTCTGGGGATTAGTTCTGCCCAGCTAACACCCCTTTCCAGCAGTTGCAGTCCCTCACTCTGTCTGCAGCCCTTCTCTTGCTCCAGGAGCTGCTGCTTCCTCTTTGTGATTCAGCCCCCTGGACAGAACAGTAAGTGGTTTTCCCTTCCGGGGTATGATACTTTCCAGGTATCTCTGGACAAACGGCATTCAACAGTCCTCACATCCACTACCCTACCCCTGTCACTCCTGCTGTGACTCAAACAGTCTGCTAGTTCATTATCTCTGGCAATACACTCTGGCAGGCTTAGTTGGTAAGGGAACCCAGGCCTGCCCTCTGCTCTAGGTTCCAGTCCAGGTCCCTTTACCAAGCAGTCAAGGTCTGCAGCTTCCCTAACCTTACTGCTCTTGCCCTGGGACTACTTCCTACTCTGCTTCCACTCATACTAGTCAAGTCCCTCTCTTCTAGGTCTTAGGGATGCCTCATCCTCCTTCCCTCGGGGAGCATGACTACCACTCTTCACCCTGGAGCCTCCTTTTTATTGCCAGTCTCTTGGCTTTATGTAAGCCCCATCTGTTCCCTCAGAGGTGATCTAGATTCCAATTAGTGCTTCCTCCTAGCCTAAATATCTCGCCTGTCTGCCACTTAATTGATTAATTGGGTCTGCCTGGCCTAATTCAGTCCTCTCAGGGCAGGTGTGGGGAGTACACCCCATCACACAGGGATGTCAACCATTTCAAGCAGAACTACATCAATGCTCACTAAAGAACATTTAGTGTGTTCTAGCAGGGTCCACCCAGGGGAGTTAGAGAGGAAAACACTTGTGTGCTCTACAGCTCATATCCCCATAGTCCAGACTCTGGCACAGCAATCCAGCAAAACCTCATGTGCAGGTGTACAACCACTTGGTCATGTTCAAGAGGCACTAGAGAGGTACAAGTCTTGGAGAAGTTGGAACATGTCTGGGTGATGGGAAGTGACACTGAAGACAACTTACCCGCTAGCTGGAGAATAGGTACCCCAACAAGGCAAGTCAAAGAAAAGGAAACTTCAGATAAATCTAAGAGTGAATGTAAGTAACTACCAACATGGTTTATATTTATCTATTTCTATTTTAATAACTTTTGCTGACCCACGTGGCAGGGTATTGGATCAGTCCTGCCACATGAAATGAGTTTGACAGCCCTGAGCTATCACTACAGCGAAATAGACTGTAGATCTTAAATTCTATCTCAGTGTGCTCACATTAACCCAGAGTACAGTAGATATATTCCTATTATGTCAAATCATTACATATAGAACTGTGTTGAAATATCTGGAAGCTCAAAGGAATACACACATTTAAGTTAGGTAAGTATAATTTTGGCATGTTTTACTGTAATCCAATTTAAAGTCATATTCGATCCTGTTACTAAAAAAAGAGAATGGCAAAGTTATAACTGTTGCTGCTGAATTCATTTACAATGGAAAATATGACAAATGCGCTAAGCCTGACATTTTGAATCATAATAATTCAAACCACACATGAATGCTGCCAAGTTTGCCTTTTCCTTGTGTCTCTAATCCACCCACCTTCCTCTTAGCTAACCCCTTTTCAGGATAAAGAAGTGCCTGCACTGGAATTTCTAGTGTTGTGTTTCTTGGCCAACTATATTAGCAACATATTTTACAGTTCTTTGCCTCCTGCAGGTTACTTACAATAGTAAAATATGGTTTTAAAGGGGTTAGGCTGCTTCTCTCAAAGGCAGATGCTGTAAAGTTGGACCTTGAATAATACAATTTAGTTTTTAGAAATAAGAACATTCTTTTTAAAGACGAGTTGCTAATAAAATATTTGCTACCAGAGGAAGTTCTGGGACTTGTTGACCACAAGTCTTGGTGAACTTGAACCTGAATTATTCTTCCTGCTCCTCCTGTAAAGAATTGACTCACTGTGCCTGATTCAGATCTCGCACCATTTGTACACTAGTGCAGTTGACCCCCTGAACTTCCCAGAATTATTCTTGATGTATGCTGGTGTGAGAGCTGAATGAGGTTGACAGAGAGCAGTGCTCCTGTGGATTAGCCATGGGAAAACTGCCAACTCTTTCCCCAGTGCAATATGATGGGATGACATTTGTGTTGTGACACTCATACTATGTTCTGATATGGCAATGCAAATGGATAGAAGGTTGTTCTCTTATGTCTGCCAAACCCAACTAGCAATGCTGGGGTTAGGTTCAAATGACCCAAATGCAGGCTCAGGCAGGCTTAGTAATTCTCCTTTTTGCGCCTCAGATCTGCCCTTTTGGGCATTTCTGCTTTAACCCAACAACCAAACCTGGCAAAGCAACCTACCCCTTGGAGATGATAATCCTGGAAATGGTAAGGGCTAAAATGCTGTGTCCTCACATTAGCACCATGGCTGTAGCCAAGTATTTACCCCATGGAGGCACTTATTCCCCCACCTCTTTATTGGAAGCACTTGGTGAACCCACAGCATCTCAAATTTAGTAGTAAATTGCATGATCTATTTCAGAAAGACAGAGACTTCTTTTATATTTTTTATTGTTCCTTGGCTCCCTTGCTGCCTAATTTATTTTCCATTCTACAAAGGAATGCCTAGTGTCTCTGAAGCTGTAGCCTGGTTTTTCAGACTTCCAGCATTTGTAGCATAGACATTCACTGTACTCGACTTTCACATTCTACTAATTGGAGCAAAAGCAGGCATGGCTCTGGATTCGCAAAACCTAATTGGCTGAATGTTGGTTTTGCAAACCAGAACAAGAGTGCTTTGTATCTGGGCTTGGTTTATCACAAGCTCCCAGAGTTTGGAGCATGTGACTGTAGGATACATGGTCTTTCACCATTTCCTTACTGATAACAACCAATTCCCCCACACTATTATCTCACAAAACGAACTGCAAGCTCCATAAATTAACATTAATCAACTGCACTGGAAATTCAACCTGCAGCCTCTACACTGCAGAAATTCCAGTTGGAATGTGGAGGTGGATCTGGGCAAAAGCCCTGGATTCAAACATCTCTGAAATGTAGGGACGGAGGTTGAAAATCAAAGCCAGGCTAACAGTCTGAATGTTGCAAATTGCCTTTATCTTTATAGTAGTCTGAACACCCCCCCCCCCAATCTGAACACTCTTAAATTGGAGTTGGTGGAGGAACAGAATCCTCAAAGTTGTGGCTTGAGCCCATCTCTAGTAGTTATGCAGCCCTGTATTTTCTGGGACATGCCAGGTGAAAACCAACCTTTTGTTTTGATCAAGTGAGTACACATTGAAAGTCACACCCTCCTTGTTGTTACCCAATACTGTGTTTATTTTACAGTCTGACAGCCACCTTAGCAAGTGTTGGAGCTGCCAGTATACCCAGTGCAGGACTGGTCACCATGCTTCTCATCCTCACCGCGGTGGGTCTCCCTACTCAGGACATCAGTCTGCTTGTTGCTGTTGACTGGCTCTTGTAAGTAATAGTGACTCCATGATTCAATCCGAAGAAGTCATCATGTACTTACAGCAAGTAACAAATAATGATTTACTCTTCTCTGCTACCTTTCAATCATGGATCTCAAAGCACACTAAAATATACCTATTGTAGAGATGGAGCAACTGAGGCACAGATAGGTGAAGTGGTTTGACATGGGCCACTTAAGTCAGCATTAGAACAAGAAATAGAACCTAAAGGGAAGATCTAAACTATGGCTGGTGTAATTTGCAATAGTTACACTGAAGTCAGTTGACTTAAACAATTGACTTCAATGGAGCTATGACAATTTATACCAGCTGAGGATCCTGTCCCTAAGAGGCTTGACTGACAGACTCCTGCCAAAGCCACTACATTCCCTAGAGATATGTAACCTTCCAAGCTGTTGTTCCAAACTACAAACATAGTTCAATAACAGTTATTCATCTCTGCTTTTAGGTTTCCTTATTATAATTCTTGTCTAAATGGAGGGATGGGTACTGAGTCTGTGGATTACACTGCAGTGATGCCTGTCTAGAACAGAAGGATTTTATATGGCATTGGGCCTTTGTATTAATAATGTCATCTCCAGTTACATTAGCTAGAATGAACATGCTTCAGGCTACAGCCAACTGCTTGAGGTTAGGAAGAAATCCCCCCACCCTACCCCCATGATAATAGTTGTCTGTTATGTTATGGGAGTCTTACACCTTTCTCTGAAGCATCAGGTACTTATGGAGATAGAGCTACAGATGTGATGGACCACTGATCCATCCAGCATAGCAAGCTCTACGTTCCTAATAGAATCAGGTTTCTTCATAGAGTTCTTCTCAACAAAGACACTATAGGATGAATGTCCTAAAGGAGCCCACAAACCAAACAAAATGAGAAAGCAAACTGGAAAATGGAAGGATATTCCCAGTCAGTTTTTACCAGGAGATTCTCTAAAACATGACCTGACCTACCTTTCAATCTCAGGGTCTTGGGATTAGAGTCCTTTCAGTACCATTGCAGATCCTCAGCCAAGAGACATCCACCTGTTCCACCCTTCTCCAGGAGCTTTCTGTCCCTCACCTCTGGGATTTAGAAGCCCCGTTAATAATTATAACAACAATAATACACCCAGAGTCAGATCCTCAGGTGCATTTTAGATTGGAGGCATAGACATCTTTGTGCCACCTTGCCACAGAGTTCCCAGGGACCAGTTCAGCTCATCAACACAACTTAGAGCAGTCCCAGGGCTCCTCTAAGTTGCACTGTTTGGTGACAGGCCCCTAGAAACCTTTACATCAGCCTGAATTGCTGGAGCACAGTGCACTCTGGTCACTGCCTTTCCTGCTTCAGCACATCACTACACAGCCTAAGCTATAAGGTTGCAGGTAGTAATGCTGGAAAGAAGTGTAACACTAGCTATGCCAGCTTTATACCACTTACTGATTTCCCCATGCCAGGGGAATCCCCAGCAGCCCAATTGATGCATCTTCAATGCGTTGTGCCATTGGAGTTATGCAGAAGGGGCTTAGCAGAGCTGAGTATTTGGCTTTGAAACTTTAGTGACATAATGTGCTATTTATCCCTTGTTGCCATTGGCCCTTGTTGCCTTATTGGGAAGCATTCAAGGTCTCAATCCACCCCATAACATAGCCCCTGTAGCCATCCTTCTGTGATATATCTGCTAGATCCGAGACGAGGGGTTTTCTTCAGTTACAGCCAGTGTATCACCCTGTCTGTGAGACACCAGCGTCTAAGAACAGTTCCCAGCTCCAGTCCCATCTATAGGAGAAAATGAGGCAGGAATTTACAGCTGGGGCAAGCAAAGGGAAAAGATGATTTTAAAAAATATATTGTAATTGTGTGAAATCACAGCTCAGAACGGGGAACCAGGGTGGGGCTCAGCAGGCAGCTGGCGAAGGGAAAAGAGGATTTTGTGTGGTTTTAAATACATTGGTGAAGTCATGGCTCAAAACAGGAAAGTGGCGTAGGAATTTGCAGCTAGGAGCGGAAGGACAAGAGAGGGTCCATGCTCAGGTTTTAAATATATGTTTTCATTGGAACTCAAAATAGGCCAAGTAGATAGGGTTCTGCTGCTGGAAGGAGGATGTATAAATGCAGCATGTGGTTTGTTTGGGTTTTTTAGGGAAATGTCATTTTAAGCCCTGCCTACACTAGTGAACCTCAGAGCCGTAATTCACGAGAAGTGCTGCTCCACTGGCGGGAGCTAAAGTGTGGGCAGGGCCCAGACAATTTTACCTCTCTGTCATCTAGCCCTGCTCAGAGGCGTGTTAAACAACATGGGAGTAGAAATGCCTGTGCCGTGGAGCTGCACCGGTGGTGAATCCCAATTATGAAGCTTGCTAGTATAGACAAGGCCAGAGTCAGAGAAGGAACATCTGAAAGGAATGTTACAGGATTGTGTCCAAGAGAAAGACAAGCCTGGAACCTTCTCCCAGACTGGGAGGGCTTTGGGGTTCTTTGGCCTGACAAGCAACGGTGCAATCCATAGTGATAAAATTCAGAGGCTTAGCGTCAAGGCTTGAGAGAGAAAGAAAATGAGGAAAAAAAGGAGGCAAGTTCTGTATATCTTGTCATGCTGATAAAGCTAATGAAACATTCGGAGCCTGATTCTGACCTCGCTTATGCTAGTTTTACACCAGTGTAAATCCATTAACTTCTGTGTGAGATCAGAATCTGGCTATCTATTAATTGACTGAGTGATAAATATAAATACAGGAGATGGATACAGGCAGGAGCGGCTCCAGGGTTTTTGGCGCCCTAGGCGGGGGTCCTTCCGCGCTCCCGGTCGTCATCGTCAATTCTGCGGCTGGGGGGTCTTTCTGCGCTCCTGGTCTTCGGGGCACTTCGGCGGCGGGTCCCGGAGCGAGTGAAGGACCCGCCGCCGAATTGCCACCAAGGGCGGCAAAATCCGCCCCCCCAAATCCTGGTACCCTAGGCGACCGCCTAGGTCGCCTAAATGGAAGCGCCGGCCCTGGATACAGGTACAGACAATCATAATGAGCCTGATAGCTGGAACTTGTCTGGATGCAAATCAATACAGTAGATATCTTTTAAGAATAGCAATTGTCCTGGCATTTTAGGTCAAATTAGAAAAATTCTTGCAAAAATGGCTCATCTTGTGAGCTTTTTACTGTTCAAGATGAAAGAAAAGATCACAAAATCACCTGATTTGTCAGGATTACGCAGAAATCTCACAGAAAACAGCTTTCACAATTTCAGAACACTCAAACCCAAACCTGAGTTTTGACTGGGTCTCAGCCTTGACTCTCCCTCCCCTCAAATTGAGGCTTAAGGGGGTTCTGGATCTAGATCAGATCATATCCTCATTGGTCCCTCTCTTGTACAGAGAGATTGGGTAGAAAGACAGACACACAGAACTTTGTCAGGCAAATGTTCCAAGCTTTCACAACTCTCGCAGTTTCTTAATTTAAAACTAAACAAATCACAGCGGTGACATTTAATAGGAGAGCTTTATGTGCCAACAGCTGGAATGAATCCAGCATCATTAGCTGTAGCCAAGAACTGGCTACTTTCCAACTGTGAGACTAACAAGCTTAGCAAATGCCATACCATGGGCCCTTGGTACAGAAGTACTTTGCATTGGGAAAACTGCTCAGATCCAACATCTAAAGCAGACACCTACATTCAGAAACACAACTGGTAACGTTTGCATGACATCTGAATCTTTTCTGTAGCTTGTGTAACATGGGTCTAAATTCAAAATGCTTAGGCCCACATTCCTTGGGAAAGTTGATATTTGAATGTTATTGCTTAGGTCTGTTTCTAGAATGTAAACTCAAGTAGAATGAAATATGAAAAGCAGAAGTAGCTAGTCCCCTAAGTGCCAACAAGATGAAAGCAAGTTAAACATGTCACTTTTTGAGTCAGTGGGAGCCTTGAGGGATTTATTTAATCTCCTTTTTAGGATCCTTTCTAGGATCCAGAGTATCTAGTCAAGAAAGCTCCTTGGAAGGGACAATGTTTTTTTACATATTAGTATTAATAATAATACCTAACAACACTTTGTGGACCTGCTTCTCCTCTCACCCATATAGTGGTATAACTTTATTGCCTCCGATGCTGCTAACTTTGATTTATACTGGAGTGAGTGGAATACAGAGTCAGACCCTATGAGCCTGATCCAACTCTCATAAAAGTCAATGGGAGCTGGCTCTGATCCTACAAGAGAAATAACATAAGTATGAGAAATCCTTTCTTCTTCAGATGAAAGAATCTTTTTGTCTGATCACTGCTGACCCAGCCATCAGTCATGTATTGATTCTTCTGATCTTGACATTACTAGGTATTTTGGGTAGTTGGAAGAGAGATTGAGTCCTTCAACACGCCTTCTGTTTCCAAAATATTTGCTGTATCTCAGCAGAAGCCAGGCTGACTCCCTTTCTCAATCTTCCTTTCAGAATTCATGTTTCAGACTACATTGAAGTTGATATGTTGGACGAATAATTTACTGGGCCAAATTTTCCTCTTATTTACACTGATGCAACCCTATTGACTTCAGTGGGGTTGTACCACTGTACTCAACAACATAATGTGATCTATTGTTTTTAAGAATAGAATGAATGGAACCTTCTCTCTTCACAAATCCTTTCTCTCTGGATGCAATCAGCCTGACTGAAGTCAATGGGAGTCAGTGGGGCCGGGATTTCACCCTCTGTGTTTCCGTTAAGTCAATCTAGCCCAGTTTACAGTGAATAGTTCTGAAACATTGTGCTGTTTGCTTAGATGAATGTTTTTTCTTGTCTACTAACAGACACAGATAGATTGAGGCATCTCCTCGCTTGTTAAATATAAAACACACTGGAGCTATATTTGTGGATTCTGGTCTCCACCTCCTGTCTGGCATTCTGAGCACTCACCCTGGAGTGGCATTAATGAATTCATTCAAGATGTAAGACTATTCACTCAAAATTATTCAGGCGTTCTATAATGTTTCCATGGAGATCTTATTGCAGAGTTCAGTATATTTGATGGGTTTTGTTAAAAAATGAACCATCTGCAAGTAATATTTTCTAAGTCTGCCACTTCCACTAGGGTTGGGCTCATACGTGCATAACATAATAACTGTGTAAAATCTTTCACTCAAGCAAAGCAAAACTGGAGGGATTTTTCCTTCTATATAATGTTTTGTTGTGAGTATTGGCCATAAATGAAAAATGTTTTTCACACTTTGGTACTATTTTTATGAACATTTTGCAAAACTTTGCTGATATGCTTATGAAATTCCACCATAATTGTCAGACACAATGGCAAAATAATGAAAAACACTTGTGAAATCGATTCAATTGGGTTTTGTAAATGTTTACACTGAAATTTTAGTCAAAGCACTAAACAAAAGTTTCACTCAGTCATGCATAAGGATATAAAATGATTAATAGTAGTTCATTGATTTATAAATCAGATTTAAACTTTTGGTGTGGTGCTAGACAGCTGTACAATGCAAACCTAGTACCAGCAATATTAGAAAAAGCAGGGAAAAAACAATGTTGTCAAATCAACGACTGTTACGTGGAAAGGAATTCTACCAGCATGGAATTGTACATGCCTGCTTTTCTGTCATTTGATCAAAGGTCATATTGCTCAATCATCCTGTCATCCTCTGAGAAGACTTGGGTTTTTTGGAAATACACCTCAGCCTTTCTGTATTCCCATTTCTGATTGACTCCCTGATGAACCAGAAATCAGGACACCACAAGCACTCTTCCCTTGCTTGCTGTGGGTCTGTTAGATTAGAATTAACAGAGTTTTCTGAGGATGCTTCTGTCCAGCTAATATCAGTAGAGGTCTACGGATTTATTATTATTGTTGTTGTTTTACATTTTTGACCCTAAAAGGATGTCAAAGCACCTTTCAAGTTAAATAGACATGCACAACACTATACATGGATCACTTCAGCTGCCCCTGAACCACAGCTGCCTCTTGGGGTGAAATGTGACTTTTTAACAGTCCCACAGTGTTATTGTTGTCATTTACATCAGTGTAAAACAGGTGTAAAATGGCACCAGACCAGAGTGAAAGCATTTTACATCTACTTGCACTTAATTTACACTGACATAAATGACTACATAGGGTGCAATGGAGCAGCTATAGTGTCTGCTATAGGCAGGAGACATGGAATCAAGAGTTCTGATGTGGGGAGAATCTAGTCTTTCATGTTCAGAATCATCAGCAGTGTAAAAAGGATACTGGAGAAAGGTAGGGCCTCCACCGATGGTCTAATGTTTGCAAGTGCCAACAAATATGTTTCCTTGTAAAGAAGCATGTGGGCCTAATTTGGCATCAACTTGCAACCAGGAGGCTCTTATTACTGAAGAAGTGTCACTGGTTCATCATTTCACAGGTTATATGTGGTTGGCACATATACCCTACGAATACTGGCATACAACAGTGTGAATGGGCACAGTGCCACCGTAACAGCTGGCTATGTGTCTAGTGGTGCGAGGGAACCAGAATCCAACAAGAGCACTGAAGGTTTGAGTCCCATAGCGAGATTTCACATCACCTTTCCATAGCTTCCTCAGTTTGAATAAAGGGGAGATGCTATTTATTTACATCAGCTGAGAGCTGGAATAAGTCACTAAATCTAAAATCATTTCCCCTGGTTGTGTAAAGAGAATTCGGGGCCCTGATGAATTCAGGTTAATTTACTGGCAGTGAGATGGGAAGTGCATAGCGATACAAAATCTCCAACCCAAGAAGCAGGCACTTTACAGATCTCAGCAAAATACAAAATACAATTTGGCTGTTTCTTTGTACAATCGCTCTGCCACATCAGGGAACCAGATCTGTGACTATGGGTATCTGTGCCATGGAAGTCTGTATATAGTTTCTGTTTGAACAGTCCCCTGGGAAGGCATTTCTTTTCAACTTCTCTTGAAAGCTAAAATCCTTTCCACTCTAAAGATCCCATAAACATTCTGTAGAGGATAAATGACAGCAGCAGCAGCACCTGCAATATTAGGCACTCCTTTCATCCCGAACTTTCCCCTTTTCCTAATAGTGAACTCCAGACAACAAGTGAGTCTTTCATGCTCCAGACTGATTTATCATTAACTATCAAACCTGTCTCTCTCTCCTTCTGCAGAGACCGGATGAGAACATCAGTAAATGTTGTAGGAGATTCTTTTGGTGCTGGCATTGTGTATCACCTCTCCAAGGCAGAGCTGGAAAACCTGGATTCCCAGCATAAGGGGCATGAAGACATTGAAATGACCAAGACTCAGTCAATTTATGATGACATGAAAAATCATAGGGAAAACAACTCAAACCAATGTGTTTATGCAGCTCACAACTCTGTCATAGTAGATGAATGCAAGGTACCTTTCACATTTATGGATATTGAGACTTGTATATAGCAGTGCATGCTTTGTTTTACTTCATTTTTTAACCTGCATGTATTTTTTTTTAAATTGTTTCACAAATGTGACAGTCTCTGTGAACCTCAGACATTTTAAGTAAGTTTAAGAAGTTACAAAGATTTTTTGCACTCTTCTTAAACATGGCATTTGAGTTGAAAAATCATATACAATGTTTACATATCAAAAACTAAGGGATTATGCAGCGTATTATGGAATATTCCAAGACACATAGAGAATATGGCTATCTACCTAGTTTCCTTTGTTAACAGAGAGCTTATTGCTACTCAAATGAAGGCTAGCTGTAAACCAAGTGCAGGTATTATTATTTGATGGCAGTCTTCCATGATACGCCATAAAGAGACACACGTGTTAAATGCACCATATCAGTGATCGCGCCAGCACTCATACGCATGTGAATGCTTTTCTTTCATCATCATTCTTGGTAGTCATTGTAAAAATACAAACTTTGCAATTTCTATCTAATCTTCACTGTAACTAACCTGGATTTTAAAAAGAAAAAAATGTCTTGATTAGAGTGAAGCGAACTTCAGAAACCCCATCAGTTGAATGAAAAACTAGGTTGAGTGATTTGTGTATAAAGGTTTACCAGGCAACCAGGACTAGGACAGGCCTGATTAAAGTCAAAAGACAATATTTAATTGAAAAGGAAAAAAATCAAAACCAAATTAAAACTTTTCATTTTACGGCCAATTTTTACTTTAGCTGCTTCTCCTGTTCCTCCCACCTGATTATATAGCAAGTGACCTGTTCCATATTTTATCAAAACATGTCTAGATTGGCTAGTGAGTCAACCACACCCAGATATTTGTCCACAGAGAGAAAGAGGAAGCTTGTGGATTCTCTGGCACCTTTAAATCTCCACAACAGACTTAGAATGGACATGAGTCCCATCTCTAAAATCCAATTGCTAAGTTATCATAGACAATGGAAATGGAAAAGATTTATGATGTCATTTTCCCCACCCCTAAGCCAAAGATCATTCTTCACAGTACATTTTTTCAGAGATTTGCCCTATCGAGGGTCAAATGACTTGTTTGAAAAATGGTATTTTCCCTTAAAGTTTTGAATTAACCAAAGCTTTCATTTTGTTCGACATTTTTTTTCATGGAATTTTTCAGTTTTTTGGTGAAGTTAAGATGAATGAAACTTTTCATTTTGAATGAAAAAATCATTTTGTTTTGGTTTTCAATTTTGGGGGATATTTCCCCCCTTTCTCTTCTCTTCCCCTCTTCCCTTTCATTCCACTGGAAAATCAAGAAGAAAGGGGGGGAAAGTAGGGTGCAGCGGAAGAAATAAAAATGTGACAATTGAAACAAAATGAATTTTTTTATACATTTTGTTGTTGTTGTTTTTTCTTTTGAAAGGAAAAGAATTGTCTGGCAATATCTGTTTCTTTTTAAAAGACATTTTTCATGAAAGAAAATCAACATTTTTTTTACCAGTTCTAGATTCGATTGATGGGGTTTTTATCACTTCCTTTGAAAAACCATTTCATAGTCTGATAAAACTGTTCCTCTTCCTAAAGAGGTGGAAAGAACCAATTACCTTTGATGTTAGGATCAGTCCTGGGGTTTTTGGCCTAACAATTACTGGCTGATTTTATTGGATTTAGTGCTACTAGGAAGCACCTGATGTGGGCTTCAGTCTTACTGTGACACACTCTGGGCTTGATTTTAAAAGGAGTTCAGAACTTGCACCACTTCAGGACTTTTCAGGACCAGTCCCCCTTTCATTTAAAAGATACCAACAAGCCATAAGTTATTGGCTGTGTCACAATCACTAAAATTGTCCCAAACACAGTGGGATTTTGAGGTTTATGTCATCACTTGCAAGTGATGCTCTAGTGACACTGCTACCAGGAACTTTTTAAGGTGGTATTTTTGCTGGACAGATCCACAGAGAAACTGGATTGTGTTACAAAGGTTCCTAATTACAGGAACTCACAGAACCCAGGGAAACAGAACTTCCCTAATTTGGGATTGCCTCACTTTCATAATGGTGAAGCTTGCTCCTTCCCCCTTCTTGCACTCTACCAGTGCTGAGCTAGCCAGGTTTTCCCCCGAGTCTCTTTTAAGGACCTCAAAAGGGAGTGATGGATGCACTAGTCCAGCCCCTCATTATTTTGTCCACCAGTTAGCTCTAATTTCAAACACACCAATTTTGGTTCATTGTTTTCCAGTCCCACACTGGTCTTGTTTACCAGACATGAACTTAACACAGTTCTTGAATTATATCAGCAGGCCTTTTTTGTTTGGATACCACTGACTCCTAAGCTAGCAAAATTTGACACTTGTCATTGTTGTTTTAGGCTTGCTCTTCATTAGGAGCTTAATTAGTACATTCAAGTATATGAGAGGAACCTTGACCTAGTAGAGTAAACACAGGACTGTCCTGGCTCGGTGTCCTCATCTGCCAAATGGGGATAAGAATACTTACCTACCTCACAGGGGTGTTGTGAGGATTAGTTGATGTTTGTAAAGCACTTTGAACATGTAAAGTGCTCTACAACTGCCAAGTATTTTGGTAATGATGATGATGTAGTATTACCTTATCAGGCTCCAAATACCAAGGTCTTGAGCTTCAAGAGATAATTCACTGGAAGGGAGAAAAGTTCGCTGCAACTCTGATCAAAGTTTTGAAAAGCTAATATATTAACATATCATCTCTATTTATTTCCTGTAATATACTCCAGATAATTCAAGTCTTTTATAGTCTTGTGTAGCCACTGTATATTTATAATAAGTAGGCTATTTTTTATGTGGGAGTATAGTGGCTCTTATTGCATGATATTTCTCTATTTTTATGATCACATTTCACATTACTTTATGTGGTTTTCAGCTCCAAATATGTTGTGTATTCTTGTAACTGCATGTGTTTCCCTTCCAATTATCTGTGAAAAAGGTTGGCTTTGTTTTAAACATTGGTGCATTTTTGTAATGTTTTCCTGTCCAAATGCTTCCATACATTCGGTTTACCCATCATGTGGAATATCAGTCCTGTCTTTAAGTTTTCATATGAAGCTGAGGACAGTAACTTGGAAGGTAAGCTAGGAAAGAATAGGCCATCCATATAGAATTAGACGAAAGGGTCTCATACTATGTAAAGGTCCAGTTCATTTTTCCTCAGTCAAACAAAATACTTTAGCTTGAGCCCCACACATCTCCTGTTAAGGATTTCACATGGCTATTTTTATATTGACTGTTGGGTCGTAACACATCGATCAACATTTCCCATGAACTGATAAACCAATATTGGTCTTCCACCATACTTATCAAATTAATATTGTAGCATGAACCTTGAAATGCTACAATGACCTTTTTTGTTGTTCTGTGTATAAAATATAGTATTAATAAGAATTGTTTGACCTGATTGTAACTGAACCTTTCACATGCATGAGTAGAAATAGTGGCACAATGAATGATACTTTACAACATGTCTGTGGAGCAGCTATTCTGCCATTTTCTTTGAAGTTTTTGTAATGTGTGTGTATATATGTATCCACATTCCTCTATCATTCTGTCCCTTTCACATTCCTCCATATCCTCCAGCAGATGTCCTGCAGTGCAGATGAGTTCTATAGGAAATTTTTTTAGTTCAAGTTAAACTCTTCTTGCAAATTAGGAAAAGTCTGAAAGCGACAGGACTGTCTATATGTGTAAAATATTTATGAAAACTATATGACTTCAAACAGTGAAGGGAAAATAAAATCCAAAAAACATGGATCATTGTTCACTCATGTTTTCTAGCCAATATTAAAATTACCCCTCCCCACCTACACACACACACACACCTCTCCGCACTTTGAGGACATTGTGAATTATGAATAAATATATATAAAATACATATATATTCACACATGGAGTATGTTACTCCTATAAATATCATGCTTCTCCATATAACTCATAACTTTTCTTGTCAAAGTGCCTTGGCCTTTAAGTTAGATGTCAATGATAATTACTTGCAGGTGACACTGGCAACCAATGGCAAATCTGCAGACTTCACTGTTGTTGAGGAAGAGCCTTGGAAACGTGAAAATTAAGGAAAGCGAGTCCCATCTCCATCTTTAATAAGCCCCTGAAGCTATCTTATGGTAAAAGATATCAAGATTAAAGAATATTTCTCTATTTATTTAACATCTAAAGTTTCTGCTTATTTAATTTGTTAACCGAAACTTAGCAAAGATCTCATAAAGTCATTGTGGCTGCCGTGTTTTTGCCAAATAGTGATCCATAACTATCTGTCTCACTTGTACTGTTTGAATGGATGCAGCTGGAGAATACTCTATGAATTAACAGTTATGTTCTCACCAGCCTCTCTCTTTTGCTCAAGATGCAGAAAATGTAGATGCTGCAAAATGGAAAGATCAAAAAGCCAGTATGGCTTTCTCCAGGGACTCAGGGTAATGAACATATAGTATCATATAAACCTTAAATTGTTCTCAGTGTCTCTTCTTGTGATGTATGTACAAATCAGTACTGCAGTGTACCTTTGGTACAGACAACATTGTGTAACTACACTATTTATTGTAAGTGTCTCTAAAGGTTTTCTATAAGTTTTATTGATAATTAGCAGCTGGCATGGGGGACTCAGAATTTTCATCTTCCCAGGTACACTTTAAATTAAGTGTCTCAAATAAATATTTCATTTAGATTTTGGGGGCCAAATTCACCCCAGGCATAACTTTATTAAATTCAGTGGAGTAAATACAAAGGGCCAGGTCCCGGGCCTTTCAGATAGCACCAGATTCTGATGCTCTCTTCACATCAAATAGAACCTTACAGCCCATGTAGTCCCTCTGAAACTATTCAAGGAGAATGATGTTATTCAACTTAAGGAAGGCACCAGAATCTGTCCCCAAATGATTATTGAACATTCTTTTTGTTGAGGATGAGCAATTATATGTAATAGGGTGTTAAAATGTAATGGTGCTTAGCATACGTTGGTTTGTTAACTAAGCTAAACTAAATGTATATTTAGGACACTTAATTTGAAGTGATAACTATTTTTCTTCTCAAGTCCATCTTAGATTTGAGCCAATGAGCTAAATCCTGAAGTCATTACCTGGTCAAATTTTGCATTGAAGTCAATGGGAATTTTGCCAGAGTTAGGACTGAGTGAAAAGTAAACCAGGACTTCAGGATTCAGTCCAATAAATTTAATCCTCATCTCTCTATTGTGAAGAAACAATTTGTATAAATGTCTTTGATGTCAGACAAGCAGTGATTCTAGACCACATGGCGTATGAATAAACAAGGCAGAGTTTTGTCGACACAGTATAACTAATGTAAGATGTAGAGGTGCAATAATCATTCTCTTAGGTTGTTTAAAAGGTGCTTATTAAAAATCAGTGCTTGTAAAGACATAGGTGTACTCTATTATGAAATTAATAATGTTTTACAGCAAATCTGAGCCAGGTAGCTGTGGGAAAGTCTGCCCTCTGAACAAACCTTCTGTGATGTGAGTGTTTCTTAAAATGTTCTCTGAGCTGTCCAGCCTATGAGCTTATAATGAACCTACCTACAAGGTGAGATGGGAAATGAAACACACATGCTTCTCTCTGTCCATGCACAGTGCAGTGCTGCCATTGACGTAAACTGGAATAACATGTGTGAATGTAGAGTTTAAACAATAATCCAGTCTAGTTTTGCTAATTTGTATTGTGTTAGCTATTCCAATGAAGTCACTATGGGCCCCTGCTAGTAAGGACTACTCACCTGTTTAATGGTTTGCAGAATCAAACCTATAGTCAACATATTCACCATTCAAATATTTGTAGCTGTGCAGTATTTTCCATGGGAACATTAGTGCTCTTTTGACATCCCCTTGCTGCCTCACTAACTGAAAAGTCCTAAAGAATTTAATAGCTATTAAACTACTGTGAGTTCTATAGACATTATTCTGACAACCTAAAGAATTCAATAGAGAATTAGTCCTTTTCTGTAGGTCTTTTGTACTGTTCTATGGAATTCTGTTCCATCTTGTTCAACTTATTTAATGGAAATTGTGGGTACACAGAACTTCTCAGGATCAGGGACTTAGTCTGGATTTGAAGAAGAGTTCACTTCCCTGATCCCCACAGAAAGAGATCAATTGCCCAAGACAGCTGTAACACTCTCTAAAATGAACTCTAACATTTGGGCTGTTGGCTTACCTCACATGAAAGTCACTCAGAGCTAAGTAGCAATTGTATAGGATGACCATATTTCCAAAAGACAAAACAGGACCCCCCAGCTGCTCACCTGTGGCCCCTTTCCCCCCATGCAAGGCTGTTCCCCGTCACAGGTACCCTGCAGGGGCCCCCTCAGGAGGCTATTGCCAATTGCTGGAACCTTGCTGCCCTCCACCCCCCATGCTGGAACGCTCCCCCCCCCACACACGGGGGGCTGGCATCTCTGCTCGCCCCCTCTGCACCGCACCCTGCTTTTTTGGACAAAAGCGGGTATTTGTCCCATTTGCTCTTGCCAGCTGGTCAAGTCAGCAAGAGCAAACGGGATAAATGCCTCCTTTTTTTAAAAAAAAAAAAAGTCGGGACAGCCAGGACAGGACTTAAAAAAGGATCTGTCCCAGCCAAAACGGAACGTATGATCACCCTACAATTATACCAGACTAGAACATAGTGTTTGTTATAGTGTAGAGCTTGGGTTCTCAAAGGTTTTCATAGCCTGGCCCATATTTTAGAGAGGTGGTCTCCTAAACCACTTCCATCCTATTCATAATAATCTAACTTCCCTGTGGCAGCTACAGCAATTGCCTACAGAGAAAGGTAACATTAGGAAAGTGTTTAGTGTATTTTTAGCTATCTTTTAAAGCAATATGATAGCTGGAAACAGGTAGGAGAGCCAGCACCATGTGACTAAGCTGCTCCACACAGTTACCTATTGAGAAACACTGTTTCAGACATCCTTCCTTACACTTATCTGCTTTGGACATATTGCCCTTTAAAAAGTGATTCTTCAGATGGGACTAGAGGAGGAGGAGGTGAAAATCTAGAGTAACTCCACTCACGTACAGAGAGCAAATTTGGGGCTTTAGTTTTGACTAAAAAAGCAGACTGTAGGACTTTTAAGTAAGACTTTATAGTTTCAGTAACTCAGGGAACTTTCAAAGATAATTACAATGTCATTCTTCTACTTATAATATAGAAATGTGCTACTTATGGGAAACACTTTGGCTATCTCCCAGGCTGAATTCTCCCATGTAATATTTAATGTGAAGCTACTCTGGCACAGTACTGAATTTAACCATCAAAAAGCTTTCCATTTCTTGGGGGAAAATGTAACTCATACTTGGCTTGCAGTTGGTAATTTGCTCATTCCACATGAGGCTGGGTTGCTGCTTAACTAAACAAACAAGAAAAAAACCCAGGAAATGGCCACTCGAGCTAATGCAAGTTTCACATTTGAGTGGATAATGCTTGTCACTGTCACATCGTCCTTTAGTCTCATTATTTTGCATCTGGCCTTCAGTGTTCTCTTCCTTTACTCATTTCCCCATTGTTTGGATGGCAAAACTCAAGGATGAGCACAGGAGAAAGCAGTACACACGCCCTTGAGTTATTTCCATGTGAACTGAAGTTCCCTTCTCCAGTCATTTTCTTTGCTCTGCTCTCAGCTAGTCCCTTGCTGCTTACACAAGTATGATATATATGTGCCCTCTAGAATACTGACATCATCAGTGGAATATGGAAAGCCTTGATCCTGGTAAGCATCCTTAGTCAGGAAAGCATTTAAGCTCATGGTTAAAATTTAGCAGCACATGCTTTTCTGAATAGGACTGTAGTTAAGCACCTGCTTGAGAACTTTGCTGAATGAGGGCCATGACTCTGTTAGGGTTTGTTCTGGTGCTAGCCTTCAAGGCCCAGTGCACATTATAGTTAACTTGGGGAAACAGTTTGCTTCTGAACTTGTTCCTTCTTCTGTACTCCTCCAGAAAAACAAAGACTGCACCAGCACTTTGTATAAAACAAGAAGTTTGCACAGGTCTCATGCATTAAGATGCCCCTATATTTATGCCAATTAGACAGTGTTACAATAAGGGCCCCTGTCATTTAAAACTGAGAGACTATTTTTGTTTCTTTGGAAAACAGGGACTGTGCCTGCAAGATGCTGACCACTCTGAATTCCCTTTGGGAATTGAGGATTTATGCTTCCTTCCAGGAAACACTTAGCAACTGGCTGCCTGAACACAGCCTGATCAACCCAACTATATGCACTAAAAACTCCCATTAATTTTAAGATGGAGAAGGATTATTATTTTTCATCCTTCACCATTCCAGAGCAGTTGCTATTAATACATTGTCTGTTCTTAATGCTAGCTGGAGACTTTGACCCCGGTCCTACATTGTTGGAAAGCAATTGGGGTTTCATCATTGATTTCAGTGGGAGCAGGATCAGAGCCTGTACTTCATGTTGAGGCCCATGCTGTCTTATTTGAAATGGTCTGTTTTCAATTTCTGTACATATAGCAATCTCAGTCATTTATAATTATAAATACACCATCATTCCTCCACCTGCAAAGACCAAAATATAGGCCACAACATGAGAGAGAGAAGAAAATCAATGTATGCTGTAAGCTAAAATAATGAGGAATTAATTCATTCATAAATAGGGCTATTGTGGGAGCTTGTTTTGTCAATGCTGGCAGGTAAGCCACAGACAATAATATGGATTCTGATTAAATTGACTGAATGGTCTGTGTTGTCAGCTTTTGAAAGCTTTTTAAACTCTTGCAATATAGAAGACTCTAAGAAGGGTCAAGGTTCAACAGTGGCCCCTCCCACCTCCTTCAGCCAATGGAAACAGACTGTGCAATTCCTTCTGCCTGATCCCAGTGAATGATCTTTTCTTGGTTCTCTAGCTGACGATGCCCCCCCCATCCAAAAGGTCTCTGCCAACATGCCATAAAGGAAAATCACTTCCCATTCCCAAATCCAGCAGTGTGTTTAAACCTCTGCCTCTGAATTCAGATCACTGTCATTAAACTTCTGATCTGTTTATACCCCGAGATATAGCTAGTGTCCATTTTTGTCTAAAATCCTAGTAAATGGACTCTGCCAACACCTCTGGGAACACAGAATTCCAAACACTATGGGGTTTTAAAGATCCTTGAGCAGTATAGATTTCTGATTTGTTTTCCAAGTATTGGTATCATCAGTCCTTGGGTTGGTACTTTGATGGATACCGATGTTTAGCAGAGCAAACTACTTGTCTTATAAATAGAAGCAGCAGCAAAAAACAACAGAGCTCAAATTAATTTACTCTGGCAACTGCCTATATTTTCTTTGCTTTCCCAGCCTCATGCTGTTATATGATTCCTGTTGTAGCAGCTCAGCAGCAATCAAACAGTTTTCTGAAAACAGCATCAGTTGCCAATCTAGCCTCTGACTTCTACAGCCTCTTGTAATGCCTTTAGAAAGGCTTTGATCTTTAGTACCAGGCCTGAAAAACCCTATTATGAATATTTAAAGTACATCTCCTGCTCATCAGATTAAGTCCCATTTGTTCCATTTTTGTTTATTGCATTTGGCACCTTATAAAAATATACTGCAGTATTCTACTGTACCGAGCCAGAAGACTACAGTTGATCATATTACTGTGACTTCTTGGGCCATTACTGTAATATTTGTCTTGTGCGTTATTGTCATAAGCATATAGCACATTGGGACAAATTCTTCTCTGGTGTAACTCTACTGATCCGAATGGAGTTACGCCAGGGATCAATTCTGCTGCTGCTGCAGTAGCATGATCATTATTTTTAGGCCATCTTATAATGTTGTGTTGAAACTACTGCTACACATAGAATGTATTATGAAAAACATAGCTTTGAGAGTGATCTTTTCCAGTCAAGCTGATGATGTTGAAGAAAAGACTTTTATCTAGTTTTGTGTCGCAGACGAGTGATGTACAGATTATAGCTATAGCCATTACAAAAAGCAACTTCCCTGCACAACAATGTTATAGAGTAAGGGAAGGGAGGATAAGGAGGAAATGTGAAACAAATTTGCTGAACTTTGCCCTGAGACAGTGTTCCAGAAGTGTTAAATTCTTGCCCAATATTCACCAGAAGCAATATTTTGTAACATACATTTTTCACCTCTCCCGTAATCTTGCATTCCCCCTACACACACACACCGGCAGGGACCAGTCCTGCAGTTCTCAGGCAGACTCTGCCATCCTGGTATTTCTTAGGCAAAACTTCCACTAAAGTCAATGGGAGCTGTGCCAGAGAGAGGCCTGCAGAATTGGGTCCACACTGATAGTTATCCTTTGCTTCCCCCTATTTCTTCCTAGGCTCTTGTTTGATATTGAATTGAAATCTGTTGCTGTAATGAGCCACAGTGCTGCTACTTTTCACTAATGCCCAGGCACTGAGAACTTGTTTATCTGTGGAATGCATGGGTTTAGTGACACAAGACTCTTTAGAACCAATCCCCAGTGTTTCCTCCTACCCAAGAGACATCTTCATCTGGTAAGTTGAAACCTGACACCTATCTGCTACCCACAGTTACAATTCCTAATGGATATGGCAGTAATGCATTTAAAGCCATGGTCCTTTATAAACCCTGAGCTCCATATGGTAACATTGTTTAAGCATACTGTTGAGGCACTGCATAGGTTTTCTGCTAGTTAAAGATGCCACTCACCAATGTGCTAATGAAGGGTTTGGAGAGGCAGGGAGGCATGATATTTCTTACATCACCCAGCTTTTTGGTTTATTTCCCCAAATCACCTATTTGTCTATCTAGGTTCTTATATAGATATGTCACCTGCCGTTGTTGGAGTATTTAATGCTTCTGGTTTGATTTTTGTAACTAAAGATAGGACCGAGAGTCTTCAATATTTTCAAGAAATACTCTGAGACATACACCTTTACATAGAGAGGAAACTTATAAAATTGTGTTTGATAGATAGCACCACATAGCCTAGATGGTCTAATTACTGCATAGAACTTTGTACATAAATAGGATACTTCATGGGGATTTTTGTATCGTTCTTTTCTATTTGTTTTCTACAGTTTTGGAAGACCATTTGCAAAGCATATTTACAAACAGATTTTGCAGTCAGTATTGTAGATTCAAGTATTCCCATTTTTGGCTTCATGTAGGCTCGTAAGTTCTCATGTACTGCAGGTTGTCTTTCCTCCTTAAAGAATATTGCAACAAAAATGTATAGACTTCTTTCCAACCTATCCTGCTTGCTTTCTTAATGTAGCCAGTTTATACTCTAGTGTGAACTGTAATTTATAGAATGCATGAGAAAAGAATTACACGTGTAATTACACTTGTTAAATATGGTATGCTCAAAACTGATTCAGCCATTAATACAGATTTTGTGGGTGTGTACCTGTTCTCCAGAAACCAGAAAGAACTACAATGTAGATGGAATTAAATTACTTAGTATCTGTAATTTACAGACACACAAATATTTTCTTACAATATTTTATATATGACCATATAAGATAAGGGAAAAAATTCTTACAGGTGATCCATACCTTAGAGCAAAACCAGTTTTCTAACAGCATTTTAGGATTAATATTTTTTTTCTGTATTTTGTTTAATGAACTAAGAAAAGCAATTTAGTGATGAATTATAAGCAAAGCACAAAATGCAATAGGAATTAAGAATTTTGAGGTGTCCTTAAATGCTGCAGTTCACTATGGAACACTGTATTATTATATCCTAAACAATCTTCTAGATTGACAGTTTTATGGATTTCTCATCCCTTAATTGTGACATTTGGCTTGGTTTTACCTGGGCCAAACCCTTAGTTGTTTCTCAGGGTCAGATCCTGAATAACTGATTTACCCACAACTCTTAGGTCAGGGTCAGCAACGTTGGCACGCGGCTCACCAGGGTAAGCACCCTGGCGGGCCGGGCCAGTTTTATTTACCTGCTGACGCGGCAGGTTCGGCCGATCGCGGCCCCCACTGGCCGCGGTTCACCGTCCCGGGCCAATGGGGGCGGCGAGAAGCCACGGCCAGCACATCGCTCGCCCGCGCCACTTCTCGCCGCCCCCATTGGCCCAGGACGGCGAACCACGGCCAGTGGGGGCCACGATCGGCCGAACCTGCCGCGTCAGCAGGTAAATAAAACTGGCCCGGCCCGCCAGGGTGCTTACCCTGGCGAGCCGCATGCCAACGTTGCCGACCCCTGTCTCAGGCTGTGAGCTGGAGATCTGCATGTGCAAGGAGTACAGGATCAGGCACTCAGTCCATCTTACTCAGGCAAAACTTGAATGAGTTTGGCCTAGGTAAAGGATTCAGTATTTGGCCTCTTAGCTTTGCCTTCATGTAAATGGACCAATGACACAACAATGGGACCACTTTAATAGGGTAGCGCTATAGAAATACCTCCTGCCTTCTGAAACATTTATAAGAAAAACAAACAGTATATTTTTGACCAGGACAAGTGGGATTTATTTTTCTTTTATAACAATCAATTCTTGTTAGGCAAATACCTGTTGGACTTAAGGTCATGACATTAATGAAGCATATTTAATTAGTAAATTAAAATGACTACAGTCAATTACTTAGTTAAAATCAACAACAAAAATTACATCATGGAAAATTCCTTATGTGGCGAATCAACCACATGGCATACAATTCAAGACAAAAAACCATGGAATTGAAAATGTCACCTGTCCACAAAGCAGATACATTTTCAGAAATTTGTTGTAGGGCCCTGGTAGTCTCCTGAGGTTTATGTGGGTAAACTATATATATTTGTGTATTGATGTGCCCTTATTTTTTAATCTCCTTATATTTTTAAATCAGTCATATCAGGTATTCTCTTAATTGGAGTTGAAGGTAGTGTAGTGTGTAGCTGAAGTACTAACAGCTGTCAAAGCATGGAATCCTTATAAATACCAATTTTTATACATTGCTTAAGCATGATGATCAGTGCCTCTCCTCACTTTGTGTAGATAACATAGCTATCTATGTGTAATTTCAGTGAATGTGCATTAAGACATAGTAGAAAATTTGATCTCTGTTTTGAAAAACTCTTTTCTGGTTGTTTTTGGTTTGGTTGTCTGGGTTGTGTTTATTTTAGACATTTAACTGAATAATTTCCATGGCTTGATAACTGGTTTTGTGTGTTCGTGTATAAACAACACTTCAATGCATATCTTGTTTTGATAATGGTCAAATCCTATATGCAGCCCACTCGTTGTAAATATGTTATTGTTAGTTTTCAACTATCTAACCAGCATTGCGTATGAAATTCCCTGGCACTCAGTGAAAGTGATTGCAGTATGGATTTGCTGCACTGTGAATGCAATAGTTAATACATTATGAATTAATGTGCATGTAGCATGATGAATTTAGTTTAGGAGTAGATTCTCCTTGTTCACTTGGCATGTTGGAACCGTAGCAACATAAGACTAGTAAGTCACTGTGTAAATTAGCACAATGGTCAGAAGGAAAAATTAACTTTACTGTACTCTCCCTCTGGGCACCATGTCTATCTTTGGCAATATGCGTAGCTTACAACAAGGAATCCATATTCACACAGCAGAGTTTCAGGATTCCTCTGACTCACTTTCAGTTACTCATTGACTGCAGACTCCAGCGAAGAAACTACAGTCAGAAGACAATGACTAAGCCTGACATTTAGTCTTAAACAGAAGCACACACTTGACTGCTTACTTTATTATGTGCCCTGGAATGCAAAGCATGAACCTTCATTTCATTTCCTCTGTAGAAACAATCTGTGAGTAAGATTTATAGAACCATAAGTACATGGATGGACTAATGCTGTTTCCATTATCAAATAAGGATATTAATAGATATTGAGAATTAAGCACAAAATCAAGTGGATGTCAGTTGTGCAAAAAAGGACAAAAAATGTTCTTTGGTTGGTGTTCATTTATGCTTATTTGATTTGCAAAATTATACGTCCCATGCAATGCACATATGGCAAATATATATAACGGCAGGGATATTGTAAAACCTGTGCTATGAGTCATGTCCATGAGCTTATAAGAAAAAATCCTCATTTCTGGACTGAAAACTGAAAGTGTTATGAAGTGCAACTGATGCTCAGTAGATCTGAGACACCTCGGGAGAGATGCATCAAGCCAATTAGTTCCTAGAGACAAGGGGTCCTGATTCTCCTCACAGATGAAAGTAACTCCATTAGCGTCAATGGAGTTAAACCGGGGTAAAACTGGAATGAGTTCAGAATCAGGCCCAACCAGTGGGGGGATGTGTGGTTTCTTATGAGACGTATTATGTTTCCATTCAAACTGCATGTTCCACAGTACTCCATGTCTTTCCTGCTTACTTCTAGGCCTTACATGCTTCCTCTCAAGAGAGACCCACTCACTAGCTAGGATCCTTCATGTAGAAAGAAACAAAACAAAAAGATAAGCTTGATATTTTCCTTCTATTGTAAATGTTTATCTGGGACTTGAAGTGACGTATTGTACAGTATCTGTAGCACATTTTGTTTGAAAACTAATGAATGCAAACGATAAAATTTCTACTAATTCTGGGCTCCTTTCTTTTATAGTGTAGTAGGAATGCCTTGTTGACTAAGTAGATTTTATATAAGTAATTCAGAACTTCTCTTCCTTACAGTAATACTTTAGCCATTTGCTTTAAATGCGTTCTTACTGTGTGAACCGATTTCTGTAACTTTCATGTATAAAACAAACTGGACATTCTTTATATACTGGAAATAATCAGTGAATACAATATTTCACTAAGTGTTGTACCTTTTCTGTATATATCATCAATAAATGTTGATTCATAATTCTCATGGTTGATATTTGTGTGTATCGTACACCAATTCATTTGTTGAAACCACAGCCTAAAGGATTCCTCCTTTCCACTAAAGAATACCAAACTGCCTTATTATTTAGGGGCCACACTGAATATGAAGTACTCCAGTTATGCACAGAACAGATATAGCACAGTGGGAGTAGCAAGCTCCTCCCTGCCCTGCTAATGCATCTTACCCAGCTCTGGATTCACCGCCTTTATGGTTCAACAGTTACTTCACTCTCCATGCCCATTTAATCCAGTGCTTGGCCAACAAAGAGGTGGGGGTGAAGCTGCTAATGCCAATAGTGAAGGTGATTCTCATGATATGGGCAGCTGTTTAGTAGGTGATGGACTGAGATCAGCCACTCCAAAAAGCCCCATTCAGTTACAGTTTGCTAAATCTAGGAGGGCTCGGGAGCATTGAAAATCCTTGAGCAAAAAATAATGTGATTCTTATTCTTTTAATTGAATGTCTGTATACCACAGCCATGAAGCTATAGAAAGGCCTAAGACAAAGTTGTCACCGGAGCTGTGAAAACTTGAAATTATGTGAATCCCTAGCGGTTCTCAAACTTTTGTACTGGTGACCCCTTTCACATAGCAAACCTCTGAGTACGACCCCCCCCCTTATAAATTAAAAACACTTTTTTGTATATCTAACACCATTATAAAAGTGGGGTTTAGGGTGGAGGCTGACAGCTCACGACCCCCCATGTAATAACCTCGCGACCCCCTGAGGGGTCCCAACCCCCAGTTTGAGAACCCCTGCTTTAGAGTTGTTTCAGGGAACATTCGTGCAAGTGATATATTTTGTTTGCATGAACGATTGATTGGTGGAAGATTGTGTGCTCATGAGAATGTGTTCACCTGGTGCCAGGAATCATTTTATGGCCTTCTTGATGTTTGTGGCAGGGCACAGAAACAAAGCCATGTGACTTAAGTGCTCAACTGATTTTTATTGCTAGTCACCTCTGCTAGCCGCTACTCCCATACTGAACTAGTTACCATTTCTTGGATATGAATTTGAATAAAAATGAATGATCTGATTGGCTTTCTATTCTGAACTGTAGAGATTGGATCTGTATTTGCCTAAGCATCAGAAATATCAATCCATAGCTGTATTCTCCCAGTATTTGTAGTACATAAATATGAGTGTTATTTTATCAATATCACACTGCAGGATGTGGAGTTATACCAAGATACGCACATGTCTTGGTGGGGGTGGGGGAGGTTTTTAAGCCCAGTGGCATATTTTATGTCCTATTTTCAATGTTATTAACTGAAATTCTAATTCTAGAGAAGCCTGCGAGTCCTGTTACAGAGAAAGGATAACACTGAACACATGACCTCCTTCCGCTGTCTACTAAAAATTAAATCCTGCCTTGTTAGTTTCGCTGAAATATGAGGTACCTTTGCAGAGAAATCTGTTTAATATCTGAGTTATAATTAGAAGATGACAATGGAATGACTGACTGTCACAGGTGGTGCAGCTATTAAATGTGCTGGGGAAGCTAAAATATTTATTGTCAAAGTGGAAATAATTACAATTAGTATAATTACAGTTATATGATTTCTATCATATGAAATGATCAGTCCTTTAATCTGTGAGATTTAATAGCCCGCAGGCTGTGATCTTATTAGCTCTGACAAAGCTAGGAAGGGGCAAGCATTTGCTTGTGAGACTGCTAAGGAAAACCCAGGGTATGGCAGAAAGTGGTGTTGGCAGTCCAGTAGCTGGCACTCTTCCCTCTGAGTCAATCATGATCCAATGCCCCAGTATGGTGACAGAGGGGATTTTTTGGACAAAACTTAAATCAGAAGTCCTGATCACTCTCAGTCATTAAAATGCCTCTTGAAATTAGTTGGACTCAGGATTCTCCTTCACTTCCTGGCCTAATCTGGTGTGTTGTGCACTTTTACACCCCTTTTATGCTCTTCCAACCCAGAGACGGTTTCTCTGTATTGGCACATCACTTTGATAAGCTTGAACCATATTTTGGGATCCTTTAGCATGAAAGGAACTATAACAAGATCTATGTTGATTACATTCCAAAGCTTTGTTATGTTAGATGCATAGAAGAAAAATATAGGATGAACAGAGGACACTCCTAGCTAAGTGCTC